GTTCTTTTCTTCTCAGGGTTTTAGACTTTTTAGTCAAAGCAAAAATGAAACCCTAATTAGATTTTGCTTATTACTGAGTGTTTTTGTCTGTTGGTGTCACAGGAAAAAGAGGCTTCCAAAGAGTTTGTTGTCTATTTAATTGATGCTTCTCCCAAAATGTTCAGCTCTACTTGCCCTTCTGTGAGTATACCAAGAAACTTATGAATTCAAATTTTATGTTTGATTATATGAAAAAAATTTGCTGGGTTAAGCTGAAAACTTTCTCGAAAGGTTTGATTTTTGTATACTTTCTCAAAATGTTTTATCTTAAACAAAAATGATGTTGATAGGAGGAAGAGGACAAACAAGAAAGTCATTTTCATATTGCTGTTAGCTGCATTGCTCAGTCACTCAAGGCTCATATCATTAATCGTTCAAATGATGAAATTGCCATATGTTTCTTCAACACTGTAAGTTTCGCGCGATTAAATGTGTTGTATCCTTTATCTTTCTCTTTTTTGGCTCTTCGCTTATTTGTTTTTTTCGTCTTTCACTTTTGCTGTTGCTTGCAGCGTGAAAAGAAGAATCTTCAGGACCTAAATGGTGTGTATGTCTTTAATGTTCCAGAAAGAGAGTGTATTGACCGTCCTACAGCGAGGCTGATTAAAGAATTCGATCTCATAGAAGGTATATCTGCCGGATTTCCCTTGTATCCATTCATCTTTTTGACCTTTTTTTTGTTATGCTCTATTACATTATTCTTTGCTAACCTAAGAGTTTCGAATCCCTTTCTTAGGAATCATTACATGTTAGAATTAAAGTAAAGAACGGTTGAGCAAGCTATTAGCGCCTGAGATTTCAATGGTAGTTGTCAGACTTAATCAAAGATTAAAGAGTTGGAGTAGTGTGCTTAAAGAGAGTTATTTACTTTGTTGCTTGGTCATACATGTATGTGTTTGTGTACGCTTAAAATTTCTAAGGTATATATTGGGTGCAGAATCATTTGATAAGGAGATTGGCAGTCAAACTGGTATCGTCTCAGATTCTCGGGAGAATTCCCTTTACAGTGCCCTCTGGATTGCACAAGCATTACTGCGCAAAGGGTAACAATCTAATTTCTATTATTGATATGGTGCCAAGTTAGTGATGTGCATTACAATTTGGTTACTCACCTGATCTCTGTGTTGGTAATATTTTGTAACAAAAACATACTTAGATCTTCAAAGACAGCAGATAAGCGCATGTTTCTATTCACTAATGAAGATGATCCTTTTGGGAATATGAGGATCTCTGTAAAAGAGGATATGACAAGGACGACGTTGCAGAGAGCTAAGGTAGTTTAGTTCCAACCCTTACTTACATATGTTTTACAATGAAATCTATCAGTTTCTTGGTAATCAAATTGTAGAAGGACTAATGGGTTTACTTTTTATTGCTTTTTGGTGATTCCTTAAGGATGCACAAGACCTTGGCATCTCAATCGAGCTTCTTCCCCTCAGTCAACCTGATAAGCAATTTAATATAAATCTCTTCTACAAGGTTAATCTCTCATCTACTTCTTGTGTTGACCTTACACTCCAAGGGAATCTACATGCATTTTTATCTTTAATTTATATTTCCATGATTTTCTGTCAACATATTTCCAGGATTTAATTGGATTAAACAGTGATGAACTTACGGAGTTCATGCCATCAGTTGGACAGAAGTATGTTCCTTCATTGTTTGTTGTCTGTTGAAATTCCTTATATGTTTTTGTCATTCCGTTGCCTATAGCATCATAGTATTACACTCAGACAGAGTAGTGATGATTTTTTGAGAAGTTTCAATACTTCAAAAAACACCACTTTGTAATTTTTCTCTTAAATATGAATTTGGCTTTATAGGGAGGGATTCACACAACATTTTTGCTGAAATGTCTCTGTTGCAGATTAGAGGACATGAAGGACCAACTGAAGAAGCGTGTACTTGCCAAGAGAATAGCAAAAAGAATTACGTTTATGATCTGTGATGGCTTGTCTATTGAATTGAATGGTTACGCTTTACTTCGTCCCGCTATTCCTGGCAGCATAACCTGGCTCGACTCTACTACTAATCTTCCTGTAAAGGTAATTTAACAGAATTCTCCTACCACTGAATTGAAAGCATGTGCCTTTCCTTGTCTTTTGTTCTTCTGACTTTCATTACAAGTGAACATTTCTGTTTTCAGAAGAATACTGTCCACTTTTTTCTAATATCGTATATGAAGAGTTGTCCTTGACATCCATGTTTTAGTGTTTAAAAGATCCCTATTTTCTAGATGTATAGTCTGGGTTTTAACTTTTAAGCACCATGTGCGGGCTTGTCTGCAGGTGGAAAAATCATATATCTGTATATGAAGAGTTGTCCTTGACATCCATGTTTTAGTGTTTAAAAGATCCCTATTTTCTAGATGTATAGTCTGGGTTTTAACTTTTAAGCACCATGTGCGGGCTTGTCTGCAGGTGGAAAAATCATATATCTGTACGGACACTGGAGCCATAATGCAAGATCCTATCAAACGGATTCAGCCTTACAAAAAGTAAGTCTCTAAATAGCACCCTGGTTTGTTTCTGGTTTTCTCTAAGCATTGAAGCAATGACCGTTTCCTGTTAATTATGTCTAAATTTTCGTTGTCACTACAAAAATAAATTTAATGGGAAGAAACTATGAGGGAAATCAAATACAGCCTCGGAAATGTGAATCTCTTGGCAATCTGAAATCTAAAGTTCACTCTACTTGAGCCCCCTCTCTTTCATGTCCACCAGAAGTTGGCTTTAATTTGTTCGTTCTCCTTTCTAGTCAGAATGTCATGTTTACAGTGGAAGAACTATCCCAAGTAAAAAGAATCACAACTGGACACTTAAGATTGCTGGGTTTCAAGCCACTTAGTTGCCTCAAAGATTATTACAATTTGAAGCCTTCTACATTTCTCTATCCAAGTGATAAGGTTAGCCTCTTCTCATTCATCTTGGCTGCTGCTAATTTTCATAATTTTTGACACTTAGAAAAGCAAAGAACTTCTCTTTGGTACTAAATTTGTTTATCTAAATTTGGACATCCTCGTAGTTACAGAACTTCAGGACCCTACATAGCTGTATCATGTTTATTTCCTTTGTAGTTTCGACCAACATTAATTTCAGTTTATTTTATGCACTTTTCGCTCATCTAAATGGTGTCCTATGATCAGAAGGGAGTTTCAGATATCTCCATACTGTCATTATAAATTACAGAGTTATAATTTTTTGTATAAACATTTTGCTGAGAAGTTCTGACGCAAGTGACTTGAATTGCATGTTTTTCTGTCAAACAGTTGTATATCATGGGGACTCTTACTTTTGATAGCTAATTGATGCAGGAAGTTATAGGGAGCACTCGTGCATTCATTGCCTTGCATAGATCCATGTTACAGCTTCAACGGTATGCACATTAAATATAATCCTATGACCTCAAAGTTGAATATAACTCCTGGATATTAGACAGACTATTACACTCTAGCACTTGCTGTGGTATACTAACCAATAATTACTTGCTGTGTTGCAGTTTTGCTGTTGCATTTTATGGCGGCACTACACCTCCGAGATTAGTTGCGCTTGTTGCTCAGGTGAGAGAACTACTATTAAGGCCTTTCTTCCGCATAAGTATATTTCATCTTGAATTTTAACTGTATTCCTTTTTGATTTGTGCTTTGTTAATCAACCTACCCAATGTCTTTTTCTTATACCCAAACAGGATGAAATCGAGAGTGATGGTGGGCAAGTGGAGCCACCAGGGATGAACATGATATATCTTCCATATGCTAATGATATTAGAGATGTCGAAGAGGCATGAAAAGATGTTTTTAGAAAATTACTTGGTTCCAACATTATTAATGTTATGTTAAATGTTGACTAGTTGGTGGGATATTTGGCAGTTGCATTCAAAACCTGGTGTAGCTGCTCCACGTCCATCAGATGATCAGCTTAAAAAGGCATCAGCTCTAATGCGACGTCTAGAGTTAAAAGACTTTTCAGTTTGTCAATTTGCTAATCCTGGTATGTCCAACACACTGTTAGACGTTAGTGCTGCTGATTTGTAAACTGTTCATATAAATAATTGAAGTCCCTCTTTGTTGCAGCTTTGCAGAGACACTATGCGATCTTACAAGCCATTGCACTGGATGAAAACGAGCTTCGTGAAACCAGAGATGAAACACTTCCTGACGAAGAAGGAATGAATAGGTTTTCAACAAACTTTTCAATTTTTCTGTTTCAACATTCCATCCACAGGAATTAAAATGTTGCGAACTTTATGAGCTGTTTTTCTTGTAGACCTGCAGTTGTAAAAGCAATAGAACAGTTTAAGCAGTCGATTTACGGAGATGATGCTGATGAAGAAAGTGACTCAGGGGCAAAGGATAAATCAAGAAAGCGGAAAGCCGGTAACGCTGATGACGGGAAATATGACTATATAGAGCTTGCAAAAACGGGAAAGGTGAAAGCAACAGTCTAGAACTCAGATTTATATCTCTACTTAATGATAATCATTTTGTTTCATTGCGTTTTAGATCTCTCTATCTTAACAAATCATCCGCATGCTCTGTTTTCTTGGTTTAGCTGAAGGACTTGACTGTGGTCGAACTGAAGACATATTTGACTGCCAACAATCTTCCCGTCAGTGGAAAGAAAGAAGTTCTGATCAATCGGATTCTGACTCACATTGGTTAGTAACCTTGACCGTGACTTATAGTTATATAACTCCGGCTGTAGAAGCTAAGTTTTAGTTTCCGGTATTGAAGCTTGTCTGGTCCTTTATGGGAACGTGACCCATTATAACTTCCGGTTCTTTGTTCATCGTTTTGTCTCACCCACCAAGCTTTTGGATTTAAGTGTAATGGTGTCTCTATTTTGGGTAACTACACTAATCATGTAAATATGAAAGGATTTGTTATCTTTCTTCTAACATTATCATGTTTAATCATTCCATAAGATTCTTTAGTCTTTATAATTATCCATATTACATTACAATAAGATAAAAAGTCTGAATCTTGAGTAACAAGATAGAAGTAAATTACAATAAGACTGTCATATTACGGTATGAGTTTCATTATTGATCAAATTAAAGGTTCTTCTTTATGGGAAAAAGTTATAAAGAACTGTATGGACCATTGTAATCCATTGCACTCCTCAGAGATTCACGTACCGCAGAGTCACAGATGGCAGTATCCAAACAAGAAAAACGTAGCTAATTTAAACAAACATGATTCCTTAAGAGTACATACACAAGCCTTATCCTCGTTCTTACTTGTTTACTTTCTTGAATCTCTCTATTTGGTTCGGATCAAGTTTGAAGGATCCCTGAGAACGTATTTAGGCAGTTCGTACTTGGAACCTGCAAAAACCAACATCTCAACACTAGTACTATACTAGTTTGTGGAAGTAGTGAAAGATTTACTCGGTATCTTTACCTTTCTCGTCGTAACAAATGGTGAGGTCAGTGTTCTGAACAATCACACCGGCACTCTCAATTATGGTTTGCGCAAGCGATAGATCCTCTTCTTCTGCTGCAGCTCGTAACGCATCCCATATCTCTGTTTACATATATGTATTATACTTTAGAATGTAAAAACTATTCGACTCTCTTACATATATAGAATATCAACTAATTTGTTTCAGATGTGAGCACCACCTTTCTTGCCTCCATAGTGAGGAGCTGTGTCCCAGAATTCTTCTCGCATCTGCGTCAGCTCAGCTCTTGATATAGGTTGAGGATGTTTCCATGTTCTTGGTCTTCGAATCTTTTCCTTTTTCCCTACAAAACACAATCCAATCATATACCACAGAAGAGATGCTCCCAGCAGTTGGATCATAAGTTGTTAATCTACAAACAACTACAATTTCCAAGCTTTTGATCTGTTGACCGAGAGAGTAAAAGAACGAAACCTTAGCAACTAACTAAGAAAAAAATTAGATTAGATGTGTGTGAGCCAGTTCTTGACTCCTCATTCAATCCAATTCTTATCTTTGTTAACCACTAATGAGATAAAGAGAGAAAGAGAGAGAGAGTACCCTCTGCTATGGTTCTCGAGCTAGAACAACCCATTATTTGTCTTCCTTCGTAGACGATAACAACAAACGGACATAGCAAAATCTACAGAGCATAGACAGAGATAGGGGTATAGAGAGAGAGAGAGAGGGTTTACAAGATTTGTAGACACATAACTTAGGAAGTACAGATATTTTTTTCTAGGATGGGGAGACAATGGTTTGCGTTATCTCGTGAATCACAAGGTTGCTCTTTTTCTTCTTCTCTCCATAATGTTTGGTCTGTCCCAAGTGAGATACTCGTGAGCCACAAAGGTGTGGTAGTTGTTGGAATTTCATCATCCATAACTATTTTATGGTTAAAGCTAAGATCATATACGTAACTACACAATATTTTTGAAGAACTATTCATACTATATATATAACATATATGTAACAGAAGGTACTATTTATCAATCTCAATGACAAATCTTGGATAATATTTGCTAGAAAAACATCTTACATATGAATCAAAAATAGTTGTTTCTCATTATATACCTCGAGACGTCGCGCCATTTTAAGTCTTACATAAACACGTCGTGTCGTCTCTTATTCTTTACATGCACGACGTTTACAATACTATTACGCGGAACTCATGCTGTTTCAATTTCATTGCGACGAGTTGCACGCCGTTTTTTTTTTTTTGCATCTTTGGGCTTTCTTGGATCGAGAACTGTGGGCCATAAGGCCCGTAACTATCTATCTGTTTCTTCTACCAACCGTGCGTCCGTGCCCCCTTTTTTTGTTGTTTGTCTTTTTTTACTTTTTCTTTCTAAAGTAAACTGTCTGAATCATATTTATTAGTCAAGATTTCTAAAAATAATTATATGACAACTTTAGTAATTTTGTACATACATTATCTACAGAATAGTTAAAGATAACACAAAGATGAAAACTGTTTTACTTAAATATATTTGGTACTATAAAAAGAAGAATACAGAGTTATATACCATGGCCAACAGGATTGTTATAAAGTGGACAATATGTTATATACTATTAATTGTAAGTTGTATTTTCCAGAAAAAGAAAACGAAATCTTCCAGACAATATGATTACTTTATTTTGTGTTCATGTCAAATAAAGATGGCAGATGTCTTAGTAAAGTTCCAAGTAAAAGTGAAGTAAACTGTTGATACATCAATATCAAAGAATATTAAATGAAAATAATGGGGGGGGGGGGTGTTTGTTCTAAGACGACGAACTAATGTTATAAAAGTCGCATTGGTACGATCCACATGCTGATAATGAAGTTAACGTGGTTTATAAGTTTCAAACAAATCTATGATAATGCAAATTTACCAATATATGTATAGACTAATTTATATGATAAAGACCTGTTGATCGATTAAAATTCTAGCTTTGGGTTTTGGAAATACATGCACATCATCAAAATGTCTTCTCAACAGTATTCAAGATTTGGTATCTTTATTAGCTTGTCAAATAGAATCTTATTAACCTACTATAAGTTTGGGATATTAACTCGACGCATATATATATATGATATAAAAAATGTATCAAGTCAAATTTAAAATTTATGAAACAAATCTGATGGCACGTTCTTCTGCAATGAGGTTACATATGAGAGTCATAGAATAGCTCAATGTTTAATCCCAATATTTAAGGATCTAGGATTTTAACTAAATATATTGTATAGACTTTAGTATTTATTTATTTTTAACTAAAAGCGGAAAACTACCTAAATTAAAAATTAATATTAATGATCAGGAGAAAACTTAAAAGATAGTATAACATGCATTGAATTTGTGATAAGCGGCGCCATCTTATATTAGTTGGTTAGTTAAACTTATACTCGTATTATTTGCGCCATCTTAGAAGAGCTTCATCACAAATAAAACAAAAAAGTTAGTCCTTAAATAGTATAATCCCGGAGATGAGCAATAATGATGTTCCTTATATTATTGCACGTCTATTTTCTCACTTACCAAATTTTTTTTTCTAACTTGTCATTCGTCTTAGTTAAACCCTGAAGACCGAATCTATAATATAATAGTGTGCGATATCATAAAAGTTAAAACAAAAACGTCAACGGGACAGAGGAAGACGTCTCTTACGTAAACAGACAAATACAAACTATGGGTATTGAGACGAGTGTCAAAGCATTAGCTTTTGCTACAAAGGTGCCAAAGCGACGCTTTTGAATTATTTATTTACTTTCCAAGTTATATAGCCTACTGCCCTACCATATATATATATATATATAGACTATATAGTGCTTATAAATATACGTAGTTTCCTCATGAAGAATTTAATTTACGTACGCAACCTCTTTACATTGTATTGACTCTCGAGTTGCGCGGCATATGTTCATGTTACAACTTACATATATATGTATCAAAATCTTCTATATACATGCTGTAAATACTTTGCCTCTTTAATTCAATAGTATAAATCTTTGGACTTGTATAATATTCACCGTACGTGTAAACTACTTGACTATTGTGCAACTTATTAGTTTACCATGAATTTTATATATCATGGATACCCTTATATATATCCATTATCCACGCGTACGTATGTTTTCTTTCACCAATTTAAGAAATATATTACTTCTACATATATATACACTCTCGTAATAACACGATCGCGATGTTTTTTTTTTTTCTTTCATGAAACGTTAATGTAACTTCTTATTGATATATTTAGGTTCTAAATAAATTGTACCCCCTGAACTCATGAATCTAGTTAATATAAGAATGTAGTTAAATCATATCTTTGTTTTAGGGGAAATACAGTTTCACGAATGTAGTTAATGTAACAATGATTTAATTACCTAAAATTTCTGGAAACAATAACCAAAAACTAATTCGTAAGAGTAGTACTGAAAATGTATTTTCCCTAAATTTATAATATATCCGTGCTTCATTATATTTAGTGTTTTTTGAAATTTAGCTTCATGTAGTTGCAAACATATTTTTAATATTCCACAACATACATATCTGAAATTCTGAATTGTCACTCAATTACGCATAACACAGAAAAATAACACATCTATATCAACTACCATGCATATCATATATGAAGACAGACAGACAGACAGACACAAACATTCTTCACAGGACGTACATATGATATATGATATTATTATGAAAAGAAATCGCCTACATACATATATAAGTGTAAACTCGAGAATCAATTAATGTGTCTAATGACCCACGCCGGGGCTAGGGACTGATCCAAGTCGACGGTAAATCTCCGGTGGGTTTTCCGGTACCATGCGCTGATCGGAGTCATCCGGAGGAGAAGTGTGACCCTTGTCGCTTGGACCCGAGGGTGGTACATTTCCCTTGGGTAGGGCACTAAGAAACAAACCCTTGCTTGTATTGTAAGGCACTAGAACCTTTCTAGCTTCACATGATTGCAAGACGAAACCAAGAATCAAAAGCAGTAAGCAAATCATTGAAATGAAGATCCTTAGACGAGCCATTTCCTGTAATGGATTTTATGATATAATTCTAATTAGTTATGAAGCAATAAAAAGTTTTAGATCTTTTGTGTGTGTGTGTGTGAATGAATACTTGATAGAGGGGATCTATATATAGAGAGAGAACGAAGATCATGGACGGTCAATGGTAATTGATTTGGGTTAGGTACATATGAACTAAATTGGTGAGTTCGTATACAGTGTTTATGATTGTAATTTATGGACCAATTAATGCCTAATTGCATATATATGCGTTAGTGCATTTCTTGTAATCTGAGACAACACATTGTTCCCATTATGACTCCAAAAACACCAGGCAAAAACTCTTTCTATTTACATGCTTCTCATTGGTAAATTATGAAATAGTATAAAATTAAGCATTAATATTAAAGTAGCAGAATTCACTTCTATACACTGATACACAAAAATGTCAATGAAGAAGTGCAAAATATTTATTTACTTCTACGAAGAAGTACAAAACATAAAAAATACCAAACTAATGTGTTTGTCATTGAGTTTATCTCCAATATCCGTCTTACCTGTTTGAGATCTCTAACAAAAAAAAAGTTAAAAGAAAGAAAGTTCCTGATTGAGATGTTCCGTAAGAGAAGAGAACACTTAAGGAAGTGCTATTCAATTTCTTCACAAATCATAGTCGGTGAACTCTTGTTTCTATGGCTCATTATCAGTGTGGTTCATTAATTACTATGACTGCTTTTTCTTGTTGGTATATATATTGTGTGTTTAATTGTTTATAGCAAAGTTTCATCCATATGGCGCATACAATTATATATGCTTTTAAATATTACTTTTCATACCTCTTGTTCTCTATTATTGTTGAATGATATCTATTGAAAACATAAAACCCAAAATACGTTTGATACATAAAGATACACCATATATAATTTGGTTGAATATTATCTTCTACATATAGATATAGTTAATAGTTTAATGGTGAAAACGGTTCAGCTTTTGAGCTTTGGGGTTTGCATAACAACTTGTGTTTTCAGGTAGCCAATTGCGCTTTTGGTCGGACAGAAGCTCAACAGAGACTGAGCCGAGACTTTTTAACTCCATACATCTGGTCCACGGTTAGGGTTTCTAGAGCAGGGCAGACTCTGAGATCTTGTATCCCACAAAGCAAAGAATCTGGTTATTGGTTAATCTTCATATCTCCTTTTCTGATTATATTATCGCCAAACAGGTCTCTTTTCTCAAACTTCCTATACGAACTCATTTAATCCCGAAAGAGTAATGAACAAGCAACCACAATCTGGTCACCTGATTCTGATAGGGTTTCTGAGTCCTCGATCACATATATATTTACGTGAATGCGGCTAGCTATTTAAGGTGAATTGAGAAGGTTAAGACTAATAGTGAAGATGTTAGGATGCATATATAGAATAGTTAGATTAACGTAATAAAAACAAAATTTATCATATCAGGACAAAAAAAAAATATAAAAGCTTAAAGCTTAACAAAAATATTCCGGGATTACTAGTTAACTAAAGGACAGAATCAGACAACCCTTTGATTTCTCTGTACATCACTGGGTACAAAACTGGATTAGGCAGAGTCTCATAGACGACTTTGTAAGCTGGCACAATTACTCCATGACGACTTCACACCTCGTAGAACTCCTTGGGATCGATTTGATTTCGTTGATGATGTTACAGAAACTCTCACTTACTGTCAGTTTCTTGAGAGCTGAACCATTCTCTAGAAAATACTTTGCTAATTTCATCTTACTTGGTGTTCCTGTGAGTGGTCTCCCTTCCTTTTGCATGCTTACAGTGAATGGGGCCTTCAGGTGAGCAAACTCAAGAGATGATATGAAACATTGTGGCACAGATGAAAGATCAATCTGATCCGTCTCTGGTAGCAAATCAAATTCCTGATAATATATATAAACCAAAGAAAGTTTGAGTTTTTTTGTAATTCTAGATCCCTATGTGATTTACATGAGAGTTTAAGCAAATGAGACACACCAGGATAACACAGTGTAGATTTGGGCAGCTCTCAAGGAAGGTTGGCAACATTTCCCACGAAGTTTCTTGGAAGTAAGCATGCAAGCGAGACAAGTTAGAAAATTGAGGTAGCTGTTCAATCTCGCAGTAATCATGAATAACCTGTGTAGCAAGAAATAAAAGAGAGAACATGTGTTCAGTGAGATAATGATAAGGAAATGGTACATAAGGTTTCAATGTTATTGAATCAACCATGAATATATTACATTTAGGGTTTCAGCAGAGATGATCATGTCGCTGACTGTAGATAATCCGGTGAGAAATTTACCGAGCATAGCTATCTTGGAAGAATCATCTGTATCCAATGGCTCATTATATTCCACATTAAAAAGAACATCAATGTCTACCTTTGCAGAGGGACCAATACTGTGTATAATGAAGCTGTCAGATCGGTGATCACTGAGATTCATATACTCAAGTCTAGGAGCATCGATTGCAACAACATGATTTTCACTTTCCCATCGCTCAGAATCTATTGTGAAGCTTTTAAGTGACTTGGAACGCACACACACAACTTCAAGAGAATCATTGGGATCACGGACTATGGTTAAGTCTTGGAGAACAGGACAGCTTGATATTAGACTCTCCAGAGTCGAATCAGCATCATACTTGACCATATCTAGATGCATGATCTTGACACAAGGTAACAAAACAGATTCGGGATGAAGCAAAACAACGCGGTAAAGACGTAAGTTCACAAGACTCTCACAAGAATAAAGAGATGGAGGCATCTTAACTATCTCATCGTCATCCACATCACTATGAACATCAAAATGACAAACCCTACGCCTAACCATAGCATTGATCCAAGAATTGAACCGAGAAACATCGTGCTCATAAACCTCGTAGATCAACTTAAATCTATTCAAGTGTTGCTCATTTTCAGAACCCAGAAACTTATCTAAGAAACTCACAAAGTCATTATCATCGTTTGGGAAGTTGCCGGAATCCAAATCCAATGCAGGAACATGAAACCAGAGGTTTCTCCATCGTTTTGATAAAACGCTGGTGCTAACCGATTCCTTTGTGGAGAGATCTGAGAGAATCCGACATAACAACGAATCAGGTAAATTGCTTATCCTATCAGAGTTCCTTTGCTTCTCTTTGACAGAGGCTCCATCATCCATCTCCTTTGAACTATAATTTACAGAGAGAGTATAGTCTGAGATTCAATCATGCAAAATAACACTGAACTAGATCAATTACACAAATCTGTTGGCCTAAAAGTCAACTCAAAATCTCCAGAAAAATCAAACACTACTGAAATTTTACCTGTAATTAAGGTTTGGTTTTCCGATTTCCGATAAGCTGACGGCGAGAGAGGAAGCATAAGATGAAATCGGCGTCAATTCGCCGGGGAAATGGCACAGAGATGTATTTAAACACACAGTAATGCAAATGATATCGACATTAATGGCACTCAAACCTTATTTAAACCTCTCCCACGTACTTTAGACTTTAAGGGTAAAACTGTAAAACAACTAGACAGATATATTTACTACAATCACCAACGCGCACAGATAGATCAACGGACAAGATCTAAGATTACAATCACAGACTGTCACCGCTCGTCACGTTAACCCTTACCAATTTCTTCGCGTTATTTCAAATCTCAGTTTACACCTTTACACTGCGTCTCTCTCTCTCTCTATTTCTCAGATTAATCGCTGAGGAGAAGCAACCACCTGAGACGGCGGAGATGGCAGGGTACAGAGTGGAAGATGACTACGATTACCTCTTCAAAGTTGTTCTTATCGGCGACTCTGGAGTCGGGAAATCGAATCTCCTTTCTAGATTCACCAAAAACGAGTTCAACCTCGAGTCTAAATCCACCATTGGCGTCGAGTTCGCTACTCGAACCTTAAAAGTTGATGGTAAGGTCATCAAAGCTCAAATTTGGGACACTGCTGGTCAGGAGAGGTTCGTTCTTCTTCTTCCCCGTCTCTTCATTTTCTTCTTCGTCTTTGATTCCTATGTAAATCGAACGTCAAGCTAGATCTTGGTATTTTTTTTATGGCGTATTTTCGTTTTTTTCTTTCTGTGCCAATTGGTCTCGAGTACATTGCGATTAAAAGCCACTGTTCCGGAGATCACTCTAAGCTCCTTTGCTTCCATACTTTGGTTCTCGATCTAACAGTGCCTTTAAACGAGTTCCCACAGATCTATATCGTTTTGGTTACTCTTACCGTGGGACGTTAGCTTTTAATTCGTTTGTCTGACTTTATTTGAATTCATGATACTCTATCGAAATTGAGCTCTTTCACTCAATCTCTCTGTGCTATCAAACCGTTTTTAGAGTGGAATGAGATCTTATCTTCTCTAGTTCTAGGGTGTGGTGATTATGAATGACTGATTCATTCAATGATTCTATGCTTGTTTTTAGCTTTTTTTTTTCTTGTTTTCTTTTGTGGAGTAGAGAATGTGTTTAACAGCCATATACTGGAGGGTCTTTCCGTTGACTTTTCTCTTCTGAAAACGTTTCTCTGAGGTTGACTGCATTTGACCACCATTGAAGGATAGAATATGGAGGTAGCTAATAATGTAGATTATAAAACTCCCTTCTTCTGAAAATAAGTCTTTGATTTGACTCAATTGGACCATGATTGCTTGAATTGAATCTTAAATTGGATGATCAAGATGTTTTTACTTCTGGTTGTTGATCACTAGAATCAGGAACACTACTATAGACTATTATGAGAAAGTCAGCTAAGAACCTGCTGTCTTTGACTAGTTAAAGTTCCTCCATTGAAACTATTGTTTTACTGCCTTCTTTGACCTGCAAAATTAGTCATCATATTTGGCAAAACTGTTGGATATCAGATCAGTAGGCACATCCTTGACAGCTTGATAAAGACATTTCAGGATAATGAAACATAAAAAGCTTATAAGAATACTCTTCACTGACTCCTTTGCTCTATATATCACTTCTTCTTCTTGGGTCGCGCCACAATTTTAAGACTTGTATATTTCTTATCACAGGTACCGTGCCATCACTAGTGCATACTACCGTGGAGCCGTGGGTGCACTCCTAGTATATGATGTAACCCGCCGTGCAACATTTGAGAACGTAGACCGGTGGTTAAAGGAACTTAAGAACCATACAGATCCAAACATTGTAGTGATGCTAGTTGGTAACAAATCTGATCTCCGCCACTTACTAGCTGTTCCTACCGAAGATGGTAAATCCTACGCGGAACAAGAATCGCTCTGCTTCATGGAAACATCTGCCCTTGAGGCTACAAATGTCGAGGATGCTTTTGCAGAGGTGTTGACACAGATTTATCGCATCACAAGCAAGAAGCAAGTAGAAGCTGGTGAAGATGGGAATGCCTCTGTCCCAAAAGGTGAGAAAATCGAAGTTAAAAACGATGTCTCTGCTCTGAAGAAACTCGGGTGCTGCTCAAATTGAAGGCTTTTTTTAAAACAGTTGAGAGAGAATTATAACCCCATGGTCCATTGTTTGATTATGTCCTTGTTTTGTAACACTATCGACATTCATATGAGTTTTAGACTATACACTACATAATGTTTATTTAACTTTATTTCAAGAATTGTTGGTGAACCAGTTTCAATATACAAGCAGCTATGAAGCATATGAATCTCCAGTCTTCTTTAGAGTTCAAGATATCAACGAGCAATATTTGTAGAATTGTCTCAGAAGAGAATAACTCACCTCCGTGTTTCTTAGCTAACTCAGGATTTCCGATGATTTTGGCCATTGCCTTGTTGAAATCTTCCGGACTCTGTTGACAGAGATAACCTCACAGACACTAGCAGGTGTTAGTAATTCACAGACAGTAGCAACCAGCTAGGTGTTAGTAATACTGTTCCCCACTATGTAAATATCACTCCGTTTGTTATTTAAGAAACATGCCTTTTAGAGTATTATACTAAAACACCTGCTTACTGTCTCTGTGAGGATATCTGTTTTTGTGTATCTTCAGAATCCTCCTTAAAGGAACTACAACTTGAGAACCGGGCCGGGTTGCGTTATGTTGTCGGGTTTAGGTCTCATTTTGACAAAATGCTACGAAACGACGACGTTGGGAAAACACTTCTTCACTTGTTTAGAAAAGAAGACTCAGAAACGCAGAGTCGAAGGAGAGAAGCGATAAGAAGAAGAAATGATAGAGGAAGGTCCACCAGCTCCAAAGATCCTTCGAATGGTCTACTTCGTCGGCGCCGGATGTAAGTTCTCTTTCGTGCTTCTTCATATCTGTTGTCTAAAATAGATTGATCGAGGAAAAAGTAAAATCAACAATTTCGCATGAATTTAAATTTGGCAGTTCTATGTACTTTTGCGATCAATAAGTGGCGTGAGATGGAGAGAAACTCGCTTCTGAAGGAGGAGCAGAAGAGTCAACAAGGGGACGTTTCTTTATTGCATCACCAGTCGCCTACAGATTCGGTTCACAAGGCTATGAAATGATCGATCACTTGTCTTTTCTTCTTTTCTTGCGATTTGAGTATCGTCGTTGACTTTAAAACATTGGATCTTTATCACTCTCCAGTGGAAGAATGAAATTGCCTCTGTGTATCTCTTTTTTCTAATTTATGAACCCTAGAAATCTGATACCATCATATACAGTGGTTTCTGTTTGTGCTCATTGCAAAGAGCTTTCTTAGCTCATTGGCTCAGTTGTCTCAGTTTGATCAAAGGGTTTTCAAATGCTTAAATCTGTATGGGTTTATATAGCCTTTGAGCAGTGTATGCAATCCCCGATCGTGGATGTAATCAACACGAGTGAGAGTTTCTTGATGATCGATTACCCCAAATTGTTAACGAATCGGCGGTCTCTCCGTCTCCGTCGCGAGATCTCTGGGGCTGAATCTGCTCGTCCTTTTCAAATAGCCCAATGGACCAAATGAAGGAGGGTTACTAAGAAGCCCATTAAATGAACAACTTAACATAGCTCTTTTTACCTTTTCCTTTTGGGGTTAAATGGCGTTTTAAATTTTTTTAAAATGTACCACTAAACCCTCTAATTCGCTTAGATACTTTTGACTATCCTTTTTCATTGCTTGCTTCGTCGAGAAGGGAAAAAAGCAAAGCAGCTTCGTTCTGCAATCTCCATTTTCACCACCAAAGCTCGATGGATCTAACGACGACGCGCCAGAGGCGTCCACTTCTCTCTGATTCTTCTTCTTCTTCGTCTTCTACGAAATCTTATTCGAAGACCGATAAGCCCGGCCGATCTAGCGGCGGCGATGCTGACGATCCTGGTCTCCGGTGGTTCTTGCCGTTTATGGCGCTATGTTATCTTCGTTACATGAGCGCGACTTCTAACATCATTCATGACTGCGATGAAGTGTTCAATTACTGGGAGCCTCTTCACTATCTTCTCTACAAGTCGGGATTTCAGACCTGGGAATACAGGTTTGCTTTTGCGCCTACATTTACTCTATACGTTGTTCCATAATGTGCATTCACGTAATAGAGACGCTATGCTAGCTCGAGTTAGTGGGTACTTGAGCTCTTGTTCTATGTCTATGTCTCAGTGATAACTGGTGTTTGAGTGTGAAAGTTGTGGGAAAATTTCTCAACATTTAGTTGGAATTTGAAATCAGAAATGTGATATTTGCGATTATATTAAGTAAGTAAAACTTTAATTTTGACGGATTCGTTCTTAGCGTATTAAGCTTTGTTTGAGAGTGTATCCTGCTTTTCTTTTAAGAGAAAACCAGTGTGGCTGGGTTGTCTTTGCTTATTACTATCTGCTGGTTTGAATTCTGGTAACTTCAATCGCTATGTTAGTATCTGATGCTTGTCCTCCATATCACAAAATTTGAATTTATTTTCTGTATATTAAGGTTTGTAATGTAGTTTTTATATAAAAACATAATCAAGAGATCTGACTACCCTTTCTTTTTTGTGTTATCCAGTTCTAACTTTGCTCTTCGATCGTACTTATACATTCTTTTCCATGAACTGGTTGGACGGCCTGCTTCTTGGTGGTTTGGTGATGAGAAGGTAAGCAATGTAAACTTAATGATGTATATTCTAATTCATATATATGACTACATATCTCTTATCCAAAGTTTGTTTATCATTTGGATAGGTTAGAGTTTTCTATGCAGTGAGACTTTTTCTCGGACTGGTTTCTGCAGTTTCAGACACTGTCCTGGTTGTTGCACTCTCCAGAAAGTACGGGAAGCGTCTTGCTACATATGCAGTTGCAATGCTCTGCTTAACCAGTGGCTGCTTCTTTGCTAGCACCAGTGAGTGTTTTATTTAATGTTGATTTCGTACACTCGCTTAAGCTATCATATTTCCTTGATATGCTTTCCAATGTATTCTTGCATCTGAGAGAATTTTTAGTTTCAAATGCTTGTAGAAGTTATTCCGATGACATTTTTTCTTCTGCCTTGGTTCGAATTTGACATTATGTTTCCCTATTAACTCATGTTTTCCTAAATCGATAGGTTTCCTCCCCAGTTCATTTTCAATGTACGCCATTAGCCTCTCATCTGGTTTACTACTTTTCGAGAAGTATGCCATGGCTGTTGCAGTTTCAGTTGTCGGGGTGATTCTTGGCTGGCCATTCTCTATCTTGGCATTTTTACCTGTCGTTATTTACTCTCTGGTTAAGAGATTCAAGCAAGCATTTATCTCTGGCGCTGTCACCTCCATTTTTATCCTAGTAAGCTTATTCCAGTCTTAGGTGCTTTGTTTGTGTGGATTATATTGGAATTATTGCATGTTCCTGACTTTCATTTGCATCAGTAACTTTAAAGTTACTTTTTCTTTTCCTAATAGTTTTCTCTCTTTTCCAGGGACTCTCAATACTTGTGGATTACTATTATTACGAGAGGTGGACATCGTCGGTTTTGAATCTCTTGATATACAATGTGTTAGGGGGTGGAGAGAGCCATCTCTATGGAACTGAAGGGCCATTATTTTATATAAGAAATGGATTTAACAACTTCAACTTCTGTTTCATTTTGGCAATATTGTTTGTCGCAATATATCCTGTTATCAAAAGAAAGCATGACCGTGACCTGCTGGTTGTGATTTCACCGATGTATATTTGGCTGGCGTTCATGTCACTTCAGCCCCACAAAGAAGAAAGGTGATTTTCATCATCTTTCATCTTCTAGTTCTTTGAGCAGTTAGTTATAAGGTGGCTTCTAGATCTTCAGGAAACTGATTTTATGATATTTTTACAAAATCACGGTATTCAGGAAACAATGTTTCTGTTTTAAAATTAATTACTGCAGGTTCCTATATCCTATATACCCTCTTATATGTGTCTCTGCCTCTGCTGTTATCGAGAACATCCCTGAGCTTTTCCGGGAAAAGTATAGCTCACGTGAAAGTCTTCTGGTGACAGTAAGTTCTAACTTACAATATCTCTGTCTCTGATTTATTCCTTTCCATAAATTGAAAAGAATTAGATTGTCCGATACTCACATTTGTTTTTTTTAAAATATGCAGATAACCAAATATCTCCGACCTGTGATTCTTGGTATTATCTTGTGTGCTTCACATTCTCGCACATTTGCTCTGATTAATGGCTATTCCGCTCCCTTAGAGGTCTACAAACTACTGGACCACCAGGATGATGCAGGACCAGGTATATTTATTTAGAACCGAACTCTTTGATCGTTACAACGCAAATGCGAGTGCAGATCACATCTCACATTTACTTCAAGAATAGTAATTTGCCATTGAACACCAAAGAGGAACGAAGTCCTTTTGTCAAAAGTTTTGTAAGCAGTGATGAATGTTTGGTTGTTTGGTATGTCAGGTTCTGTTCTATGTGTGGGAAGTGAATGGCATCGATACCCATCATCGTTTTTTGTGCCTGACTACATTAGCGAAGTACGGTGGATCGATGATGGATTCCGTGGTCTTCTTCCATTCCCATTTAACAGTACACTTGGAGGCACTGCAGCATCACCTCCATACTTCAACAACAAGAACCAAGCGTCTGAAGAACAATATGTAAAACTCAACACTCTTCTTTTTTTTGATGATTCCTTCCAAACTTCTCTAATTATAAACTCGAGCATCACTTAATTTCTCGTCTTTTCCTTTCAGTTAAAGAACATCGAAACTTGTACATTCCTTGTTGAGTTGCAGCTTAGCAGACCGTATGTATATCGAGGCAGCGACTTATCTACATGGGAGGTATAAGAAATAAACCGTCCTCCTGAAACAAAATCAATCTTTGATCTCACTTCCTCATCTCCGGTCTTTCTGCCCTTTTACAGGCTATCGCGGTGTTACCTTATTTGGACAGAGAGCTATCGCCAGCTAAGTATAGATCGTTCTTCATACCGCACATGTGGCAGGATAAAAATGTGTTTGGCAAATACGTCGTACTTAGAAGAGTCCCAAAATAACCACCACGAATCCTTGAACTCTAAAAAACTTGTTTGTAGCTTTAACTCAGTTTATTGGCCAGTTTTGAGCGAGATGTAAGAACAATTATAACTGATTAGTATCGGCTTTTAACTTCACGTTCACTGTTCAAGTCGTAACCTTTGAGGTGCAAACGGTCGGATGAACGTGAAAGATTTTGTTTATGATACGTTTCAGTTCTGCAAAATCCTATCTTCTTCTTTTTTGTTTTGTCCTTATGATTTTGCGGATTCCAGTTTTGACTATCGAGAAAAAGAGATTAAAATGAGAAGATTATGGAGGGCACTGATATTTCTCTCCTCTTTAAGTTAGCGTTCAACCAACGCGTTGTATTGTAAAAGGCATAAAAAGAACAAAATTTAGCTGAAGGGCACTGGGGAATAAATATTATCTTAAAAAAATTAAGAACTAAAAAAACTTTGTAAAATTGGGAAAATTATATTAAAACTGAGGATAACATAAGAAGAGAAACTATTTATGTTTTCTAAGCAATATTTTGTCATTTGTAATAATATCGTCATTATGTTACCATCCATCCGAATTCAATAGTGCATGTCGTTAACCAAAAAAAAAACGAAATTTTCGAAATGATTTATAGGAAAAGTCCAATACATGTATAATTATATTCTTGACAAACAAAGATGTATAATTATATTCTTCAACATAAGTTACATAATCATGGTTTAAAAGAAGAAATGAATATAGAAATATAGTACAAAGTTGAATAAATTAGTGTTTTAATTTAAACAAATTAATTGCATAATATAGTGATGTTTCCTCTTTTTCTGTGAGGCATAATATTTATACAAGCACTGTTTTTATTTATTTTCCCGAAAAGAAAAAAAAAAGGAAAAGAAAAAGAATTAAAAGCATCAAAGGGACGAGAGACGACGAAGCATACTCGATTATCATCACCTTGCTAGCTTCGTTCTCTCTCTCTCTCTCAAAAAACCCTAACTTCTCCTGTGATCGATCGAGTCCGATAACTCGCGATTATGGCGAATAGTAATCTTCCCCGAAGAATCATCAAGGTACCTTTTCCGATCCTCTGTATAATCCTCCGATCCCTAGATTCCTTTCGTTTCATTTTGGGGATTTCAATCCCAAATCAGAGAAATGGAACCTCTCTGCCTTTTAGTTCACCAGAATTTGGGAATAATTTTGACAGCTTGTTTGAACTTTATCCCCCATCTACGTTTCTGATCTGACCTTTTTTTTTTTTCTCCGATCTGGTAGGAAACTCAACGTCTACTTAGCGAACCTGGTAAGTTTTCATCAATTCATTCTCTCTGTTTTGAGTTTTACAGTCGATTTGAGCTGAATCAGTTGGTTTTAGTAGCTGGAATTATGAAATTTCAATTCGAAATTCTATTGTTTCTGGGGAACTTGGGTTTCATAAAATTAATCGATCTTTTTGCAGCTCCTGGGATAAGTGCATCTCCATCAGAGGAAAATATGCGGTATTTCAATGTTATGATTCTCGGTCCTACTCAATCTCCTTATGAAGGTACTAAATTGTTTTCATCTCTTGCATGCCTACCTTAACAATTTTGTTTACCTTTTCTTCTGTGAGTAATGGTAATGTCACTGACTTGGTCTTTGTTAATATGTCTGTTTAGGTACTAGGGTTTCTATTGTTCTTATAAAATTGCTCCTGTTTGGATTTCTGGTGGTTTGAATGATATGAGTCTATAAGCTACGTTTAATTTCATTTCTACTCATTTATCTTTTTCCACTGTGTTCTACACTGCCAAACTCATAATTCCGGTTCTCTTTTTATATAATATCTTCCAGAATCAAGTCTACTGTTTTATCCTAGCATCAAGTATCTATCAATTTATCTTTACCAATCATATTGTTTCGTTTCGAATTTGTAGGAGGAGTTTTCAAGTTGGAGCTCTTCTTGCCTGAAGAATATCCTATGGCAGCTCCCAAGGTAAGTTACTTCAACTGTTGTGAATTTTCTGTTTCATTTCACGTTTCTCATGCTTTAGCTGCGATTTAATTTCGTGCTAACTTTAGTAAAATTAGTGTAACCCCTCATTGTTAAGTGGAGGCATTGTAATTGGCTATTTTGGATTGGTATTAAGATTCTCGTTACTTTTAATATTGGGATTTTATTCTAATTGGGTTTGTTTATGAGATTTGATTATTCTGTTGGTTATACTCCAAAATATATCTTCACGTATGGGATGAGACAAGGTATCCAAAGTTTCTACATTGATATATAGTTTGTGGCCTTATTGATGATATCATTCGAAACACAGGTTAGGTTTCTCACCAAGATATACCATCCTAACATTGACAAGGTCTGTTGTAAAATCTTTCCTTTTCTTCTCTTAATATCAATATCATTAACCAAACTCATGGTCTTTTTATCCCTATGAAATATTTTTTGTTTGCATTTTTATTATGTATATAGCTTGGAAGAATCTGTCTTGACATACTGAAAGATAAGTGGAGCCCTGCACTACAAATACGAACTGTGCTCTTGAGGTATGAATATTTTCCATAGATTGTTCTCTTATACTAAACCAAATACATTATTGCAACTAGAATTAGCTATTAACTTATTATGGTTCTCCGATTCCGTGTAAAAAAAAATAGTATTCAAGCTCTTCTAAGTGCACCCAACCCAGATGATCCACTGTCTGAGAACATAGCTAAGCATTGGAAAAGTAATGAAGCCGAAGCTGTGGAAACAGGTGATAAAATATGATCTAAAAACTCAAAAAGTTATAATAAAAACCTTGTCCTCTCCTCTTTAATCTGGTAATCTCATATGAATGTAAACACATGCAGCCAAAGAATGGACTCGCCTTTACGCAAGTGGTGCTTGATGAGGATTGCAAACGGAGAAAGATCACTGTCATTTAAATAACATTATATATGGTGAAACTCTATCTCAAGGTTTTATCTGAATCCGTTTTTCTTAAAAAGCAGGGGAAAAAGATTTGTACTCTCCGAATTTGTATAACTAGGGGGATCTATGACTTGTTTACCCATATTTGCAATCTAACGTTCTTCAAATGTGCTTTTGCTTGATCCTTGCTTGTGTCAAAAATCCTCCTTTTTAACTTTTAAGCAATGTGGATAATCAAATTTGACAGGTTGTGAATGAAGGTAAATTTGATGAATAATGGAGAAATGTTATTATTACAGGTGTATGAGATGTCCACTTTAAAATGTAGTAGTTTATTTTGGTCAAATGTGAAAGAACAAAAAGTGGTAAAACGTAGTCACGAGGAATGAGATTTTCAGAATTTTAAGAATGGCACTATCAGAAACTTGACTCGTCAGTTGACGGACGCCTCAAGAAGTACCTCAGACTATTAGCAAGAACCTACAAAACCAAAGTTTGCTTTCATTTCAGTAAAAAAAAACATTTCGACTCATTGAGAGAAAAGTCTTAATTTCAAGACTTATACCTGCTGCAGAGGCTTAATTAGGGCTTTGTTCCTGTAGCTTACGTGAAACTTAACCTTAGCCAATAAACCCTATTTGTTTCACATACAACAAGAAGCAGCATGAGAAGAAAAGCGGGATGTTTTATATATGTTTAAACTTACATATAATATCAGATAAGAAGGTATGGGTCTAAACTTAGGTACTGTTAATTACCTCGGTATCGAATTCTCCAGATTCGACAGCGACACTGATATCTGAAATGATCTTCACCAGCTCAACTAATAGTCCAGGTCTATCCGCTGTTTCTATGTAGAGTAAACTGCATCCTCAAGAAATAATTATGGATCAATGATCAGATCATATATAAGTATAATCTAAAAGCATTTCCAGGGATAAATGCAGATATGGTGTTGAAGTTGTGATAAGGTATGGGCTTTGTTTACCTGCGGTCTGTTCCATCATCTTCGATGTTTATATGTGTTGCTATGTCCACATCGATCTGACAACATCCCAATAAACACACAATCAGACAAACGAACTATGGGACTAATTTTGAAGTTGCGTGCTTCATCCATTCTTCATCAAAGTGAATACTATAATGAAGTTTAATACTTTTACTCTACATCGACCCGCCAAATCTAAACATGTTGACTATTAGTTAGTCTTTGTTTTCTCTATTCTTATTTCTTAGCTGACCGGGATGATGAAGAGCATTCTTGGCCTTAATGTTCGATGTTACCAAACTTCTCGAACAGATGGTGAGATACAGAAGGAAGTGGATAAAGTTATACAAACAGCATTCACAGTTCAAGGCTTTTTACCGGTTCACTTGGAGGAAGAACACCAAAAGCTGCTCCCATTGCCAACTGAGAACTAGATTCCTGATCGAAATCATGGAGAAACCATGTAAGAGTTGAGAAACTGTATGTAACAAAGGAAGTTTAGAAAGAGAGGGTATTATGCTGCAAATGGTTACAGGATGAAACTCAAGCAAATTGTTTATGACTGTGAGACGAATGGCCTCGAGCAATTCAGGGTCCTCTACTTTTCTTCCACTATCCCTGTATCAGTCAGCACCAATTCAATCTAAAGTCAACTCTCTGGCAAAGTCAATGGATTCGAAAGTAACATAAACTATATCTAAACGACTCTTGAGAGCTCAAAAACTCTTGATGATATGAAAAGACATACGCTTTAGTAATGGAAAATTTGTTGTGCTTGCCGGAAGAGTCGAGGTAAACATTAGCCTTGACGACATTCAAGCCCAAGTTCTTGAGCGCATTCATCTGGATGATCAAAGTGGATCAGATCAAGAAGCAATCAAAACTCACAGCATAAGCGGGAGAAGAAGCTAACAGCTTTTGAGAGTGAGTAAGAAGAAGAAGGTGTCATTACAGTGTCAAGTAGAGCACCAAGACGGTCTCCAAAAGTAACTTCAACAACGGTAGCATCAGGGTCAGAATCTTGGTCGATAATGACAACTGGAGTTGGAACTTTATCAGAATCAGCGGCACTTCCATCTTGCTTTCCATTCTTTATATACTCAACAAAGAAAACAAAATCAAACTTAAGAGTCTATGTTGAAGATTCATGTTAGTGTCCTCTTGTATTGTATAATCCAAATTCAAATTCATACCTCCACAGCAGTAGCATTTGATGCTCGAGGCTTCAAATTGGATAATCTGAAGAAACATAAAAGAAAAATAAACAAGATTTCATCGTCAACCCAATTATGTGCTTCCAACTAGCAAATAAAAACAGATTGAGAAAATTCAGAGAATCCTTAAAAAGCATTTTATCAGATTACTTTTTTGAATGAAATCGAGATCTGAGGAGAAAATGCAAAAAACGAATGAAGTTTTGATATCAGAAACAAAGTATTCGGAAGCCAATTTGATTGAAGTAAAAAAGAAACCTTAATCGCTCGAGATTGACAAGAGATTTATCAACGAAAGCAAACGTAATGGTTCTAGGAGCAAAGCAGAGAGCTCCACAATCGCGTCTTATAGCTCGAGAGCTAGAAGCATCAGTGAAACAAAGAGCAGAACCAGAAGCAGAGGCCATAGTAGCCATAGCTAAATAAGCCAAGGACAAAAAAAAAAAGAGGAAAATGTTAGAGAGGAGTAGAAGTAGAAGTGAAGAAGAAGAAGATGAAGAGCCTCTGGACAATTCTTGTGTTATCCGCCATGAGAGGATAATAAAAAAGATATGAGACACAAATTTGTTTTGTTATTATCTTCAACGTTAGATCGCCATTTCTCTTGCTTTCCTTTTCCTTTATTTCTTTCTCCCACCTTTTATTATATTTATTTGGTCTCTCTCTCTCTCTCTCTCTCTCTATCTCTCTCTCTCTCTCTCTCTCTCTCTCTCTCTTTTTTAGTTTTTTGTCTTTTTAATTTCACAATTCGCGACAAATTTCATTATTCTATTGGCCCCAATTTTATCGGATGTGACATCCTATTGGCCCATACTTTCAAAGTGTTTTACCGCGTAGTTAAATTAGGTGACGCTATTAAAGTTAAAAATTTAAAATTATATATTAATTTGACAAAGAAAAAAGGCTTATTTTGCTACCTAACTATAAACCTAAAACAAAGTTGAAAAATATCGTGGTACCAAAACCATAAATATATAATATGATTTTTCTCAACAAATACAACTTGATAAGTAATATTTCAAAATAGCATGTTATTGAGTTAAATGTATGATCAGTTATCATATTCAATGATTAAATGCACATATGATATACCCTGCCCTCGTCCTTTATATTAGCTTACTGATTAGGAAAAACAAACCATATTTCTGTATTAAAAATAAATTATATCTGGCAAAAAAAAAAAAAAAGAAGAATATAAATTCTATACATAACTACACAAGGAATATGGGTCCTAAGGGGTTTTTCATCACAAACATGCTATATCGGCCCAATATTTAATGGGCTTAGTGCTAAGCTGATCATGTCGAAATTTACAAGTTTGCCACTTTGCTTAGCTCGCTGCTTCAGCCCTTTCCTTCCTTGCTTGGTCGTCAGATTTGCGCCCAAATCCCCTCCCTAAACCTTTAGACGGTGACGACTGACGAGAGAGTGAGAGATAGCGAGCCAGCGAAATGTGGAGGTCCGTCGTAAGAATAGCCGCCGGGAACCTCAAATTGAATCGGAGGTCTTCGATTCTAAATGATACCGTTTCTCATTTCTCAGCGCCCGCCGTGGAAACACTTCTCCCGAGTTTAGATCATGTGCATCGATGCTTTTCATCTTCGAAGAGCACCAAATCTTCTATCACCAAGACCAAGAAGGCTGAAGGCAAAAAATCCAAACCTAAAGGCGGCGATCCTGGTGCCGCCGGAACAGAGGACGGAGAGTTTGGAGGCGGCGGAGGAGATGACCTCGAAGCCGGTCGAGCCAAGAGGTTAGCTGATGATGAGAAGATTCCGTCTCTAGATGTAGGTCCTAATGGAAGGCCTCTCTTTACTCCCAAAGAGACTACACTCTCGCAGCTTTCTCACAAGGATATTGGCTCCTACTTCAAATTCGAGTAATCTTAATTCTATCTTCCCTTATCCTCTGTGATATTCTGTTTCACACTTTCGGAATTTTGTGTTGATGTTATGTATAATGTGCGAATGTAGTGAGGCAGCACTGAAAGCAGTTTTGCCGGAGGGATTGGCTTCAGGAATCCAAGACGAGTTTAATGAATCATGGAGACCTGCTTTGCTTGTGAGAAAAAGTTTCTTGGCTCTTAGGGATAATTTCAGACGCATTGCTGATCCTCCTATGTGGCCAAGTGACGGTAAAGGTGAGTTTTTTTTGTTGAACCTTTTTGTGCGTTAGGCTGTATTCTTATGTAGTATACGAATAGTGATCTCTTCAGCGGTCAGCTGGTTGTATTTTCTCCTTTTAGAAACCTGAACAATATAATCTGTTGGTTTTAGTATTGCTTGTCATATGGCCTTATCTGGGATCTGTAATGCCTTTAATTTTTTTTTTTAACCATTGGTTCTCTTTTCCTGAAAAGGTGTCAAACTTAAGAAACAGATTTTCCTGGATGGCCCTGTTAAATGTGGAAAGAGTATTGCTTTGGCGATGCTTGTTCACTGGGCACGTGACGAAGGCTGGCTAGTTTTATATGCCCCGAAAGGACGTGACTGGACTCATGGAGGTTACTTCTATAAGAATCCACATACAGGTTTTTGGGACACTCCTCTACAAGCTGAGAATATTCTCAAGGCAAGATTTCACATGCCTCCTCTTTCCGAATGGAATTCTTCCTAGTTAAAAGCATCTCTTATTAAAGTTAACTTCTGTAGGACTTTGTCAAGTTCAATGAATCCCGTTTAAAAGAGTTAAGGTGCAAGATACATGATCCCATCGTGCTTGGAGAGGGTGCGGGTGTAGGATACCTGAAAGGAGCAGATACCATGCCAGTTCCAGAGGATTCAACTCTGTATGACCTTGTGCAAATGGGGATTAAGAGCACTCATGCATCAGTTAATGTCGTAGTGCGACTTAGAAAAGAGCTCTCACTCGTAAAAGATGTACCAGTGTTGATTGCAATCGATCAAGTTAGTCCCTCAATTTCCCTCTTGTGATTTCATATGATATTATTTTAAAGCTGCGTCTTTTTTCCACTATTGTTAATTTTGTTTGTTGTTACTCTGTCTTTCAGTATAACAGCTGGTTTACATTCAGTGAGTTTGAGGAGCCTGTAACACCACGTTCTTGCCGACCTATACATGCCAGAGAACTTACAACGGTGGATTTTTCTTCCAAATTCTATCTGATTGAGAGAAAGAAAGCAACCCCAATTCACTCAATTATTTTGGCAGGTGAACGCTTTCAGAAGCATGATGCATGAAGATATGATGGTGGGTGCATTCTCACATTCAACAGCAGTGGGAAAACTACGCAAAGACTTGCCAGATGTTCCAGTTGATGCTCGTCAGCCTTTCCCACGTTATTCTTTGGAAGAAGCAGAAGCTGTCTGCTATTACTACCTTCGGTGAGTTACATGATACCAATTTGATGTCTTAAGAGATGATAGTACTCAGCTCTGTAATCCTCTCTACTTATCAGACCCCTAGTTGTACTTTTGATTCATCATGGAGTTTATCTACTTGAGAGAAATGTATGAAACTGAATATCGTTGTCATGAACGTTCGATCTGCTATTGTTTCAGGCAAAGACTAGTTCGGCGTGAAGTATTTACAGAAGAAAACTGGAAGAAGATATACTATCTGGCAAATGGGAATGGAGCTGAGATGCGTTGGTTAGTCCCTTTCATGCGTTGAGGTTGGTTAGTCCCATTGAGAAGCAAACACACAAACAAACAAAATTAGATTGTGATTTTGGTTACATTAATGTCGCCTTTGCTGGTGTTTAAAGTTATCCATTCAGTTTGGGAAACAACTCTTTTCATTGTCCTTTCTGAATTAAAGGAAGATTTTTGTTGTTTGAGTTCGTAGTTTTTAGGTCTTGGCTGTCTGTAAAACACTGGTTTCTTAACCTTAATTTCTTTCTAATAAAATCAGTGCCTCTCATTTATTATGGCTCCAATTGATAAACAATGCAGTCATGCAGATGCAAAATATACAAAATGTGGGGAAAAGGTAAAAGTTGTCAACTCACTAATCTGGCAATTAATGGAGGAAAAAAATCGAGATAGCATATTTATTCTGCTGATTAGGAATGAATACACAAATGGCATATAACATGACACAACCAGATAGGGTTTAAAAAGAAACAGCAAAAAGATATGTTTCCACAAAAAGGAAAGATTTAGACAACATAACACCTTGAGAAAAATACACAGGTTCTATTGGAAAAGAATTGACTTGAAGAGCTATACAAACCAAAAGGCGAAGAAGAGGAATAAGAAGAAAAAACAATTAGCTCATCTTAAGAAAATGAAACCACACCCTCCACCACCACCATCACCATCCCAACCGGAATAACTCGAACACAGGAAAAAAAAATTAATGAGAATTAAAAAGAAAGAAAATAACACTACAACCACCACCGAATGAAGCCACCAGGAAGATCACATTTTTTTCCAGATTCATGAAAAATATTTAATGACCCAAACTCGAATGTTGATGATGATGATAACTCAAACAGGTATGGCATCAACATTTGATGAGTCTTCACATCTCAATACGATTCCTTCAAGACTTGTAGGGAATGTACATCTCCTCCATTGCCAACCAGCTGCAAGTGGCTCAGATGAGGGAACTATCATTAACACATTATCGTTTCTCTGCACCACTCCAATCACACTCACTGTGCTTCCTTCTTTTATATATCTGAAATGGAAATCCAAGAATCAGGATCAAAGCTTCTATTACTGTTAAGGGTTTTCCAACTTTGAGAGTTGTTAATGAAGTGTTTGTTCCGTACCCTTCTTTGAGCCGCATTATTCGATCATCGCTCGTTAGATTCTTCTTGTTTAACCATCGAACAAAATCGGGAGACACTTGCTCGCTTCCTTGCTTAAAATCGACAACAACAGAATCATCTACAAGAGGTGTCACCTTTGCACCGTTTCCAGTTTTAACTAAGGCTCTGAGCCCAGATTGAAAATCAGAGATGTAGAAGTCCACCACATGTCTCTGCCACATAATGGTACAAGGAAGTGTTCTTTGATGAGGTTGAGGAAGATAATATAACATTTCCTCTGTGAAAACGAAATACTGGGGGAATAACTAACCTCTGATGATCTCAGTCCCCATGTGAAGTGACGATGGGAAGAATTGGCTGGTTTTGAACCCCATCCACGATACTCGTATAGACATGTCGACGTGTACACACATCTGGGGACTCTGTGGAAGGATGACTCAAGCGGTACATTACCACAAGTAACCACCTTCAAACAATAAAACAAAAATCAGGTCACACACAGAGCAAGCCAAGTTTACAAATGCATTCCAATATCTAACGCAATCTCTGCTTCTATCCATCCAAACATGTTTTACTCCACTATTATAACAAAGTAGTACTCTGTTTGCTATTAGTTTAAAAGATATCAGATGCAAAAAGCTATCGCCTTCTATCAATTGCAGCCAAATTATTGATGTAGTTGTATGATCAGAGACCGAAGTCACATTTCTGGTAAGTAGACTAGCAGCAGACTATAAAAACATAAAATAGTCAATTGTAAGATTGGCACAAGGATGCTTACCCCAGTGACTTTCACGTATTGACCATTTTTGGCTGTTCTAAGATCAGCATCAGGGTAACGAGCAATGAAATCTGTGATACCACGTCTCCCCCAACACATATTCCAAATAAAAAGTGCAGCAACAACTGTGAACAATATGGCGACAACAACGAGGAGAATTGGGTTGTGAACTGCTCCAAGAATGAAGCCTCCGGCGAGGAAACCCATTATGAAGATAAGAACAACCAGCCACAGAACAGGCTTTGGGAAGCTCTTCAAGCAGGAAAAGTCATCTTCTGGACCAAGGGTCGTTACCGCCTGGTTGTGGACAACAGCAGGCATATGTGACTTCATCAAACCAGAAGAGTCTAGAGGACCAGAAACCTTCCTGGGAGCTCCAGATGAATTCAGAGGGCCTGATGTAATAGGGCCAGAGGTTATGAGACCTGTAGCTGGAAGAATAGGAATAGGACCAGAATTTTGCCGTGTTACACCACCAGATTGTGGTCCAGATGATTTCTTTAACGGCTCTCCATGCTTAGACAAAGGTCCAGAATTGGTTTTTTTCATTGAAACTGAGCCAGCAGAGGCTAAAGACCCAGACATACGGCCAGTGGCAATAGGAGCACCTGGACCTGATTGAGCAGTTCCTGCAAATGAGCCAGACCTTGAAGGAGCACCAGGTATGGGACCAGACTTCCTTGACTTAGTCCCATCTGTTGGAATATCAAACATCTTCCCCAATTCTCCTGATCTCTTGATATCGCCACCCGTGTAAGGCATGGCTACTGCGCTCATGGTTGGAGGCCGTTCTTTGGGTTGCTCAGGCCGACCAGACACAAATAGCCCATTGCTGAGCTGATGAGATGGGTATCTTGAACCCATTTTGGTTACTTAAAGAAAACCCAGAGCAAGTTACTTTGAAGTCTGAATACCACAATAAACACTACGTTCAACCGTAAGAATTACAAATCCTACAGAGGGAAAAAGAAACACAGGAAGTAGTGAGAAATGACCCAAATGCAGAACTGCTTCACATGTATAGACATAACAACATTATAAAAATGAAGAAAAAGTCCTAGTCAGATTACAATTGTGACAGATGAAACAATGGGCAATACCACAATCAGAAATACAAAAGAAGCAGGCTTCAAAGACAGACCTATGCCGACAACTACAAGCTATAGCAGCCAGAACTCAGTTTTTTTTTACTCAGAAATCAGAATAGCTATTTGTATTCTTAAGTGGACCACAAACTATAGGCTCAGATCTCTAAGTTTCTACTACCAATTACTGCGTTAACCAGGGATTGACTTGTTAGAATCTAAAAACGTTTCTCCATAATCGAATTGCCCAGAAGCTGAATCATAGAAAAATTGAATTGAGAAAAATTCCAAAAACTCCCAGAAAGATCGGTGGACTTGTCACTTGAAAAATTCAACGCCGTATCTATCACACACCCAAACAAAGGACTTCTCTCAGATTTAGAAGCAGTATCCATTTCAAGTAAATTACCCAAAATCATATAGAGTACAAAAGTCTGAAATCTAGATCCCCATTTCCCAAAAGCATCCCCAAAAAAAAAACAGAAAAATTGGAATCAGGGAAAAAAAAAAAAAGAGAGGATAAACCCCAGAAAAGGAAGAAAAAAAACACGATCAGCCAATAAGAATCGAATCGAGGAAAATGAAAATTGAGAAGAAACTGGGACTGGTACCAGAGTAAAAGAGTGTGCGTGAGTTTCGGAGAAAATGCAGCTAAGCTTCTCAAGTAATTGCTATTTGTTGAGGGAGTGACAGTAGAAGACGAAGCGGAAGCAATACTGGGGAAGCCAAGATCCCATCACCCGCCGGTGAGCTCTCTTCTCCGTCGTGTGGATCTCGATCTCGATCTCTCTATCTCTCTTTCAGCCGCAACAACTGATGAGTTGTCTCAGTCTCTCTCTCTCTCTCTTTCTTTCTCTCTCTAAAAAAGGGCTAAGGTTTTTTATTTTTTTCTCTTTTTAAATGTCTACCAAACTGTTACAAAGAGGAAGAAGAAACACTCTGTACTTTTCTTTTTTTTTACAAAGAGAACAAAAAATTAAGATGTAAATTCAAATATAATGTAATGTTTTTCTATGTCGACATTACAAGAACGTATTTTAGCATCATTTGAAACATTTAATCATTTGCAATAAGCTTCTTTCCACCTAACCTTTTGTATAAATTAGTTTTGTCTTTTTTTATTTATTTAAAACTCTACATATTCTGTAGAATTTAGAGCAAGTATGTATGGTAAAGCCAAAAAAAAAACACATATACATTTAAATTTATTTTTTCTCCTCACGCCAAACGTGTAATTGGTTGCGATTTAATTAGGTCGATTGGGTTAAGTTAATTATTGAAAGCTTTTCTTTCAAGCAAAGTAAATTCGTAATTATGATTGGTCACATCGAATGGTTAGTCAATCTATTACCCCCATTAATCAAGCTCTATTATAATTCTTTAAGGAGGAATACCATTTTTTTTTTTTTTAACTAACACCTAACTTAATCAGAGTGAGAGATATATATACAAATTTGAAGAACATGTGATTCATCATTATTTTGAGTATGCATTATGCGAAAACCTCGACGCGCGAAAGACACGTAATAGCTAATAATGTAACTCATTTATAATGATTGAAAGCAAGACGAATACACCATCTATAATTATATAAAAAACTAGATATTTCTTGAAAGTGAATTAACACAAAGAAATATAAAAGGTTAATTTCGAGTCAGGCCCTTAATATTACAACATCTATAAACAATAAAACACACAAACGTGGTCACCTGTCTTGATGCTCTGTGGACTCTAGTTTTATCTTTAATCAAATCAAAACTAAGGTGTATAGGTCTTGGCATTTTTTTTATTCATAATCATAACAAAGAGGGTTTCTCATCCTTTAGCTTAAATAATAATTTAACACAATATTTATTTCGAATTTGAGTAGTCTGTTTATCAGACGATTAGTCAGTCACCTAATGCCTTGCGTTGGACTACCAAACCAAATAGAGAATTTTACCGTTTTTCTTGTCGTGACATAATTTCGAAATTGGAAATCGAAACGGTCGGAGAAGACCGGTTTTGCTCAACTAAACAAACCGGTCAGTTCAAAATTGCTCAAAAACGAAATAATCTGAAAGTGGGATGAAACGGCCACGTGTCTTGATGTCGCATGAGCCACCACATTTCACGTCGGTAGTTTTGTCGTTTCGTGGTTCGACCCGCCAGACACGTGTTATGTCCCTACCAGGACTTTATCGCCGACTGGCTTGGCAAAACTCAAACTCATGTTATAGGTTTATTATATGTATGTAAGTTTGGTCTTCAGCTTCCTCTCACCGCATTAATATAAAACAGAGAAAACATTAAAATAAATCAAAAAAAAAATGGCCGAAAAGGTAAAGCATGGAAAAGGTTTTCACATGCTATGCATATTCTCGATCTTCTTCGTCCTCTTCGTGGTGTTATCAGTGAAAGCTTCGGCCGATGACGTCGATTCTCAGAGAGCGGTGCCATCTGAAGACAAAACGACGACGGTTTGGCTAACTAAAATTAGAAGTACTGGTAAAAACTACTGGGCCAAACTCAGAGAGACTTTGGATCGTGGACAGTCCCACTTCTTTCCTCCCAATACATAGTAAGTATAAAAAAAATTACTCTCAAATCTTCGTTTGGTTCGTAGAATCTTGTTTGTTTTGAGCTCAAACGATCCGTTTCCTTGTATATATACAGTTTTTCAGGAAAGAATGATGCCCCGATGGGAGCGGGTGAAAATATGAAAGAGGCGGCGACGAGGAGCTTTGAGAATAGTAAAGCGACGGTGGAAGAAGCTGCTAGATCAGCGGCGGAAGTGGTGAGTGACACGGCAGAAGCGGTGAAAGAAAAAGTGAAGAGGAGCTTTTCCGGCGGAGTGAAGCCGCAGTCGGAGGGTTCTGAAGAGCTATAAATACGCTGTCGTCCGTCTTAAGCTTACGGGGGCCCTTTTTATTAATTAAAAAATAACCATCAGTGTGTTTTCTTCTATTGGGATCAAATCAAACGACTCTGTTTGTTTTTTTTTTGTTTTGGTCTACATCACATGGTTGCTCTGTATACAACAACGACCAGATCCACATGACTTATTTGTTCTTCTTTTTGTCATGAATATAATATTTTAGATTCTACGTTTCCAGCAGAGTTAATTTGATCAAAGATAACTTGGGATTTAATGATATGTTTTGGGATTGATGAGTCGATACCTCTTTAACCAAAAAAAAAACTAGAAGAAGGATACGTAGCCTCGCCAACAATGATAATATAGTTACCTAGACCATCGACCCAAAATATCTAACACACTTTAACAAAATATATATTTAATCATATTATAAAAGGCTGGAAACTATATTGTATATACCAATAAGACTGATGATTGTGATTTGTGACGGTGATTCAACTAGTCTTCGTTTCTGAAATCTATAATACTTTCCCCACCATGTTTAGAATTTAATTTAGATACCTTTTTTTTTTTTGGTTTTTAGCTGGCAAAATATCTTAAGATTGAAACAGTGACTATGACATATTTTGGATTCCTTTTTCATTTTTCACAGTCTTGACCTCTTGGGATTATTGGAGGTACGGTAACGAATATAAACACAATTTTTATTTTGTTTCCTTTAACAATATAAAAAACACAATCTAACTTCTGGTTTAAAACATATCATAAATATAGTATTTCATACTATATCAGTTTATAAACAAACATTTTAAGTCAATTATAGATTATGTACGCCCCTAGGATTAACAGACCTAAAACCATAGGTTTCCTAATAGTCCGTGGTTTATCCGTAGTACTTAAAAAAAGGACAGCTAATTTAGTCAAGTCGGCTGAAAAGTAAAACAAAAAAAAAATAAAATTTGTGGGTAATAATAATAAATCAAACCAAAATTACGATAAAAAGGGTGGGAAAAAAAGGAAAAGCTTGGTCTCAGCATTATCCAAAACTTATAATTACAGCGTTGATTCCGAAACCGAAACCGAAACCGAAACCGATCTCGTCGCTCTTCTCTTTTATCTGATGGCTCGATCTATCTCTCTTTCACTTTCTCTCTCTAAAAGCCGTCTCGCCGCCGCATCATCTTCTCTCCTCCCCTCATCGCACCTCGTTTCCTTCCGATCTCAATCCTCCGGTCGCCGTGGCGATCTTTACGAAATCGATGTCGCGGCGTCGCAATCGCCGTCGGATCCTTTGATTCAGAAGCTCGAGGACGCCGTTCACCGGATATTTGTACGCCGATCTGCGCCTGATTGGCTCCCTTTTGTTCCCGGTGCTTCGTATTGGGTACCGCCTCCTGGATCTGGATCTCAGTCTCATGGAATCGCTCAGCTCGTTGCCAAGCTCGCGAATCCGTTAACCGACGAGGAATCGTTATCTACCAATTCGTCTCATGGATGGCCTTCCTCCGATTATTTCCTTAAAGGTTCTTTTTGTTATATCTCTCTGTATTTTATGAAAATGAGATAGGTGTTTAGTGTTTGGTTGATCATCCATTTTTTTGCGATTTGGGACTGGAAAATGATCATCTATAAAGCTTGGGATTGGAATATTGAATATGTTGAGCTTTTTAATCATCGTTAGCTACCTAGGAATTTTGATCAAGTTTTGAGCATTCAGATTATTGAATTAATAGTGGCAGATATAGAAGATTTTACATGTTGCTAATGCTATCCAATACTTAAAGCTAGTCATTGCTCGATGTTGTTACAGGTTCTGAATGGGAGATCAATATATTTGATTAACATTTAGAGAACCAATCATTATTCCTATAGGCAGTAGCGTATGTGGTGGAACAGGTTCTTTAATAGCTGTGTTGCTCTGAGAATCGATTTTTGTGTCGGTCATTCATTAACATTATTGATGTGTTCCTTGGGTGGTTCAGGATTACAACCTAAACTGATGGAGACCAAGTCCGACAACACAGCTTCACATACTGAGTCTCACTCCGAGGATGAGGAAGCATAAAACCTCCCTTCTCCTTTGGGTGAGTTATTATCCACCTTAACTATAAAGTTATGGTCTTAATAGAATGATCGATCAGATAAATCTATGAATCCTTATAAAGGCGAAAGTGTTTTTCTTTTAAGGTGTTATGAATTTGTTTGGTTTCTGATTAAATAAAGATTGGGGTTTTCAGGCTCTTCAGAATATGTAGATTTGTCAAGAACAGGAGCGACTGGGACAATTCGGATGTCCAAGAGCAAGTGCGAAGATGCGATATAGACAACCATCTTTCTCTTTCTGATCCCGAAATGTGAAAACAAAAATGAATAAGATTAGTTGTTGTAGGTTTGTAGCATTTCCTTCTGTTATAATGTAAACTGTTCCTTTTCAACAGTCGGTGTGTATATATATATCTGTTTCGTTGCTCTTTCTATTGTTAACAAGTTGTTTATGTTAATTGGAAATGAGGTAATCTAACGCAGTACAGGTTCTATATTACGAAAAGAAACTGCATTTTGTTCTAATGCGTATTCTCTCTTGTTCTTTTACAAATGGGAGATTTTATGTCTTTTCAGATATCCTGTGATAAATAATTAAATATGGATACTATACCAGTAAGCTCAGGGAAAACACCTCGACGATCCTGACTCTTGAGTAGGTTAATAGGTTTTGTTCCAATAGTATTCGATCGAGCTATTTTTGAAAAGAAAATATTCAAGAGGTTGAAGGATGTTAAGGAACTCACGTCTTTAAGAGGAAGAAGAAATGCCCTTACCCAAAAAAAAGAGGAAGAAGAATTGGATAGGAGTAGAGAGCAGAAGCAGTAAAAAGCTTGGTTTTATGATGATTAGTAAAACTAGTGCGCACAATATTTGATGAAGCCAAAAGGAATGTCAAAATCCATGATTTATGTCTTTGTATTGATAGCATATATTATACTAGATGAAAATACTTGAAATCAGATATTTCATTTTTGGTATACAGTGAACAGAAGAATTACAACGCCAATTGTGTACATCATACATTTCCCTCCAACTCAACCAACAGAAACAGATAATTCATCATCGGAATCAGAAACATCTACGTCTTCTGTGAACTCCGATCTCCATTTATCAAAAACTGATCTAAATTCAGAGAAATCTCTGCGATATGGAGACAATAGACTAAACACTTTAAACTTAGTATTAGGATCCAACTCAACTCCCTCCTCAATGCATTCCCGTAATATCTTTTTCACTTTCTCATTATCTTTCTCCTTGCACAAGCCAGAGATAAGAGTCCGATAAGTCCGTCCATTCGGAACAATCCCATCTTCTTTCATGTCATAAAACAAAGAACAAGCTTCATCGATCCTATTCGCACGGACAAGTCCCTTCATAGCTACTGTGTACGACACAACATCTAAAGGATATTTCTCCAAGATGCACCGTTTGAACAAATGAATCGCGGTAGTGTATTTACCAAGCTCTATAAGACTGTCAATTATCGCAGTATGAAAATGTGCATCGAGACTTTTGTTCTCCCGGGTTATTATTTCATACATCTTAACCGCCTCGCGAAATGCTCCTCCTCGACAAAGCGCAGTAAGATATCCAGTATATGTATAACAATCCAAAGCAAAATCTTTGTTAGACATGTTGCGGAGTACTTTCAACGCGTACAAATTGTGACCACTCTTGCTGAAATAGTTTAAGAGTATGTTTCCAGTTACCAGATCAAAATCTGTTCCTATACCGTCGGCGATCCTAGGAACGAGATCGAACTCTTTAGACGAAGATAGACAAGACAGTATTGAAGCAAAAGTATACTGATCCGCCACAAGTTTCCTATTTTTCAAACTGGTGAAGATGTTGCTAGCTTCTTCAAATCTCCCCAGTCTCGTGAATGTGTGTATCATCATATTGCAAAGAACAATATCTGGAGCTAAACCTTTATATTGCACAATACTTAGCAAACCAAACGCTTCGTCAACCATTCCAAAATCCATAAACCCCTTGATCAAACTAGTATATGTCACGAGATTGGGGGACCAACTGCTATGAATCATCTTATTGAACAGATCAACCGCCTTTTGCGGCTCTCCTGATCGAAAAAACCCACTAACCAACATGTTCCAGACATTAACAGAAACAGAGATTCCACTGCATATCATCAATCCAACCACTTGAAGCCCTTCATGGACGCAGCCTGTTCTACAGCACAGTCTAATAATCTGACCAAACCTCTCACCGTTAGGATAAAAACCTTCTCTGATCATCATCTTCAAAACTATCCTAACCATAACTAAATACCCTCTACTGGCAAAATGACACAATGCAATGTCGAAACTAAAAAAATTTCGAAAACGGATTCCTTCAAAAATTTCCAGAGCTCCATAAAGAAGATTGAGTTTGAAATTAACATCCATCATCATATTCATGGCACGAGTGTTGGGCACATATCCAAAACTATTCATGCCATTGTAGACCTCGATAGCCTTATCATAGATATGACCACGCCAAAATATTTCCAACAGTAACAAGAAAACCCGAGGCTTAATCTCACAACCAGATAGCTTCAATTCCTCTATGATTCGATCAATGTTATTGTATCGCCGAGTTAGCTTCTCAACGACACTAACCATGTGATCAAATGCTCGATCATCGTGGAAGTAGTTGTTCTGCTTCGCGCACCAGAAGAAGTAACTCAAAGTTTTGAGATCAGATGGTGACTCTCGTAGACAAGAATACACATTATCGTGTGTGAGTGGCTTTGGAGCAATTCTTCGAGGATATTCACTGAATTGACCGTGAATCGACGAGAAACTGAGTGTGTTAAGGATTCTTCTTCTCTGCTTTACCCAATTGCATCTCCATAGCATTTTACCCGCGACGCCAAGGTCCTAACCATGAAAAGACTTTTCTCGGTAAAGTGGGAACTTTTCTGGGAAACCCACTTGAGATCTAGGACAAAGTTTGCGACTTTGACAGAATAATACGCCGGCGAGATAAGTGAAAGCAAGAAACGGCGAAAGGGTTTTGGTTGGGTTGGAAGAAGATTTAGGAGGAACACTCGAACTGCGGCGGATGCGGAGCCAAGAAGGGATGACTATACCGGAGTCGGTTTGGTTCTTTAGAATTCGGTTTAAGGTTTTGCTAGTTCTTTTTTTTTTTCTCAAAGGTTTTGCACTTTTTTGCTAGTTAAGTAATAAATTTTCTTACAGCATGAGAATCTCTGAACACTTGTGTATCATATGTAAAGCAATTGTGTATCATTTGCTTAGGACATACTATTCAGTTCCTAGCAAAACTTTCTTACTTTCCTTTTAGTTGACATTAATAAATGTAACTCAGATTTAAATCACAAAAAAAAAACAATTGTACATTTAGGAACTGCAGGAATTATTACAACTATCCAAAGCTATGAAATGTAAGGTGGAAAAGGACAAAACGAAGAGAACAAGTTCAGAAAGTTTGCTTGTGTGGTAGAACTCTGAAGGTGTTTCTCATTCCAAAACCGCTCCGTTTGGTCGGTTCAATACAGAGTTTCCGATAGAACTCTGAAAAAGCATGGAGAGACAGAACAAACATAGTCCTGTTTTAGAGAGAAGAAGTAACAGAGTCAAAAACAGTATCTGCAGATTCTTTGACATTCATTTTATACCAGGAAGAAGAAGAAGAGAAGTATCCAAAATAGATATCAAAAGCATTTATTCCACATCGTGCTTCTCATGTTTTAATTCACTTTTATAAATGCGCCAACAGTCTTAACATTATGGTTAAGAGGGATTCAATATGCTTTTTTACCTGCGTAGGCAATGGTAACACCCGATATGATTCGTCCTAGAGCTGCCATAAAGTAAAGACAGATCACAACCTGAGAGAAAGACACAGGCGAAGATAACAAAAGTTCAGTTTAGAATTCTGCCACTAAGTATGAAACCAGAGAAATGTATTGCATCGGTGTGTTAATTGGCTAAAACCACAACAGACAGGTTTCTGAGGAATCTTAGTCAATGGTCTTAACCATCTTTGCTTCATCAATAAATTCTTGTACTTAGTTATGTACTTTGCAGGCACCGAGGTGATCTCTACTCATATAAGAAAACTACCTCTTATAAAGCAAGAAAATTAGAATGCACTTGCCTTAAAAAATAGCCTCTTGTCATGTCCTGTTGCTGCAACCCGCAGAACGGATTCAGCTGCTCCTACAGTATTAGCTAAGCGCGCAACAATGTTACAGGCTGTGTCCTGTGATATTTGCCACTCTAATGGATCCACAGGTACCCTTCACAAAAAACATGTTACTTTGAAAATCATGCTACTTTTAAGAATGCAAGAGTCTTTCAAACACAGGGTAGCATTAAATCAATTACACTTTTCATGTTGATGACTTATGATAAAATTATGAGAAAGACACAGTAAAAACACAAAAAGTTGGCCAAAAGCTCATGCTTATGAATATAAAAAGCTGATACATTCACAGAAACAAAACCTTGAGCTTGGTTACCTAATTTGTTATGATATAAACCAAAGGAAATCGAACCTTTTTTGGTTCTGTGAACAGGCGGAAACTTGCATCAGAGCAATAAAAAAGTTTAAACATCTACACGATTATGAGAAACTAAACACAGCAGAAGCACACTCATTTTGAATTCTGAACAGATCAAACAGGCAAACAAAGAATTTTACAAATTTTTAACCTTAGATCAGCAAATTGGAGACGTACGAGAAATCAGTATACTCGAAACAATAAGAATTGAAGAAAAGGTCTCAAGCTTAAGGGGGGGAAATCCAAGGATCTTACGAGACATTGAGTTGACGGAAAAGAAGACCGAGGATGGCGAGAGAGGATAAGAGAACAATGAGAACGTCAGAGAGGAGGGAGAGAAGAGTCGCATTCCGATTAGCGCAATGGTGGTACACAAGCGTCCCGCTTATCAGCAGTCCGATCGCCTTTCCCACTTCTCCCATCTCTTCTTCTCTCAGATATTTCCCGGGAAGGTCTCACAGCGACGAACATCGGTTTGGTTTTTAAATTCGTGGTTGGTTTAGGCAGAAATTGGGGTCGGAACAATCGGTTAAGAGGAAATTCACCAATATCGTATGGTCCAAGTTGGTTTTTCATTACTTTCCAATTTGATTATATATGTATTAAATCACGAATTATTTGGACTGATGTTGGCGGGTTGAGCCAGGCCCTTGCAATAGTGCAACGCATGGACGACTCATGAAAGCCCAGATAGCAAGCTATCTTAACGGGCTTTCTCCCTTAAAAAATAGAGTTAATATCGTGTGGGCCGATGGCCCACATATCAGATATTAAACTGATAAGAACAGATACTACACTTGATCTTAGCCAAAAGGCCGAGAAAGGTATGAGTTGGAAGATGGATCCGACGTTTCTTTTATATTACTCGTGTGAGAGCAAGCATATCCTCATTCACCGATGTGGGACTTAAAACCAAACTGATGGCGTACGAGAGAGTAGGATGTGGACGCGAGTACAAGATCTTTAACCGCCTCTGTAATTTTTTAGAATGCAACATCCTCTGGTCATATGTACGTGCATTGAGGCCTTCCTTCAGTTCGTGCTCACTCTCTCTTCGTCCTCTTCGTTTGGTGAAATTATTTGGCTGGAAGGAGATTCCGCCACAGTCCAAGGATTGTTCTCTACTGCTTACTTTGGTATAACTCAATCATCTCATTTTGATACATTTCAGATGGTCGTCGGTTAGACATAGGATCTCTGAAAACTGACATTTGGCCATTTCTTATGGAAACTGCTGGATTTGACAGTTACTGATCCAGTTCTTAGTACACACAAGGTTTGTAGTCCTTATGTCGTCTTTTGTAATGAGATAGTTCCGTTGCAGCTAGTTTGTATTTCTGCTAGAGTTTACAGTCACTATCAGTAGAGCGTGGATCAGGAATATTTCAGATTCAGTTGGAAACATAAAAAGTTAGATTGGAGATAACATTACTACTTAGAGATTCTAGCTTCTGCTGGACATCAATCTATTAATATTACAGAGGCCTTTTTAGACTATTGCAAAGCTATCTGTTCCAGACTAATATTGTCCTTGCATAGTTGCATGGGAATTCCAGCCAAATAAATTTGGTATTGTGTTTTATAGTTCAGCGGTTCTTTGTCGAAGTCTTCCTTGACTTGATATTAAACGAGTCCATGAATCCATGTTGTGTAGCTCAGTAGCTGTTGTATAGACTCTGTAACATAGTGGTCTCCCTTTCTCTCTTCATGATTTCATTTGTTTGTTGGTACAGACAAAAAGAATACAGGATTTTGTACTCAAACTCAATAAGAGATACCTTCGAGGGATCATCATACCATTGGGCCTCTGAAGTTAAATTGTTTGCACTTCAATATTGTTTATACTTTCGTCCCCAGATTATATAGTTGATTCATCTCCCACAAATATATCATTTTCCTACCATATGGTTCAAAAAGGTTGAATATTGAGGAATGCAGAAGAAATTTTGCAAGAAAACGTGTCTTTTGGCATTAGAGAGTAGAGAACTGGAGATTACATAATTGAAATGTTGTACGAAGAAACATAAGAGACATCCAATAGTAGTTGTTTAACGATGCCAAATTGATAAGCAGAGTACAACAAAGCCAATGAAAATTTTGTATTAACCAGGTCCGACTTTCGGGATATCATAGTGCTCACTCATGTTAGCCAGATACTGATTGAAATCCTCAATCCTATTACGGTGAGACTTGTTGGCCTCCTTAGCTAGCTTCTGCACATCCAATCTCTGTTTCTGCTCTATGTACCTTCTTTCTGCAGGCGTTAACTGATCATCATCGTGCTGAAAATTCACATCCTCACTCGACTTTTCACTCCTGCCCATTTCTTCACCTTCTTCTTCTCCTTCGATCAACTTACCCAATGCTTCTGTGCTTTCTCCTATACCCAAATCCAATATAGGAAATCAACATCATATGAATTTTCCATTGCCTATAAATGTTAAGGAACAGTTAAGTCATGCTAATGAGAAGAAAGCGGTTGTGTCTTACCTTCTATGACTTCATGTTCAGTAATTTTAAGAGCTTGTTCTTCCTGTTTCTTATGTTTCTTCTTCTTCTTTACTCCACCTGCTTTCACATCCAAAGCCTTCCCTTTTAGCTTCAACTTCCCACCAATAACATTGTCGTATGCCGACATCTCTTGGCTGCTAGTAAGAACACAGAACCACAAAACATAAATTCAGACCACAATTGGCAGCAAAGAAAGAGATTTCCAGACATTAAGGCTGAAGCTTTATATTTCATTGATGAGGTTCGTTAACAGAAAAAGACTTTGTGGCAAATTGTACAGTCAGAACACAAATACCACGAAACAAAAATTTAGATTTTTACAATCAAGAATGAAATTTCAAATATGAAAGCTTGAGAATTAGTGACTTCTTAAGACATCGATAAGCAGAACCTACCTACGGAGAGCTCAAATCATCCCTAAGCCTGTTTTTTTCTATCCCCGTAAACCTCTCAGAGATCCTAGACCTAGTGCTTGAAAACGACTGAAGTTTATCAACACGTATGTATGGAACACATTACACGACCCAGATGATTAGCAAAGGAACCATAGTAGATCTATAGTGTATATACCCAAAAAACCAACAGAGGATCCATAACACAGAAGCATACTCAACAAAATTTCCATATAGAGAACAATACCAGAAGCTAGAAGCACAACAATAGAAGCAGAAGCATGAATTGAGCTAAAACTCAAAACCCTAACCCAATCAATCACAGACCTGAAATCGAAAGAGGATGTTGCAGAACGCAAGAGAGAGAGAAGGACGAGTTTTTTCTTTTAAAGAAAGACGAGTAAAATAAGTCAAAAAGGGATTTACCTCTTTTTTTTTTTTTTTTAAATTTTTCATTCAATTAAAGCCCAATAGGCCCACTTGTTCTCTTTCCCACGTTTTAAAACGATGTCGTGTACCTGTTTATTTTTTCTACGCTCGCTTTTTTCTCTCTCCCACTAAGGCAACAAACAGTAAGGGCTTTCAAAATTGGTTCTTCTCTGGAAATCAAATATTGTCGACGAGGACCAAGAAATTCGGATTAAGGGATTTCAATTGGTTCTCCCCTGTGTAAATCAAAAACCCTAATTCCAGTCGCCGGAACTTTTGACTACAGCGGCTGTTGGATTGTTTTTTTGCCGCCGTTGTAAAAAAATTGAGAGCTAAAATGTCGACTAATGTCTCAAGTGGAGAGCTACTGAGCCGGTGGAGGAGAATCGAGGAAGACGAAGAGGAGAATGACGATTCTGATCCCTCTGCAGTACGACGTCTTAACCAGCGCAAGGAACAATGGTTTTGCTATACCTCTGATAGTTCATTGTTAAATCGATTTCATATCCGAAAATTAGACAAAATTCAGCTATTACATTGCTCTGATTTCAGTTCTAGCTGACTGTTTTGTTTTCTATCTTGCTCCAGGTTTACAGATGCATTCACTTTATTGATATCTTTGCCCAAGGATACTCATATTTGGTGTGGGCATGGTGATGTAATGGGACCTCTTATAGAGACATTCTACAATTACTTTAAAGATGATAGAGTTGATTCACCTCTCAAGGTCTTGTGGAAGAGAATATCTGAAGAGATGCGGCTTTGTGCTCAATGCATTTGTCAGCACCATCAGACTCAAGAGATGTATGAAAAAGAGTATGAGTGCTCTTCTGTTGGTCCACTACTTGCTGTGTTACGAAAACTTGATGAGGAAAGGGTCACCAGGCACTTGCAAGAGATTAACTCGAAAATCGAAAAAGGAACATATGATCCTGATCATCATCATGCAGAAGTTGTTAGTGTTATGTACGAGGTACTGTGGTATATTATCCGGTCTGAGATTTTTGTAACAGTTTCTTTTTCCTTCTTTTAAAACTACTGGATGATAACTGACTCTGATGATTTGTATTTTTCTATTCACTTTGAATCCTCAATCCTCATGTCATGTCAATTCTTTGCATCATGTGATTCGCATCTTCTAACTTGTGAGCCTTCGTTTTTTGGTGTCAGGTTTTGATGTTTCCCTTCTTCTTTGATGATATGTCCTTATGCTCTGAGTTTGAGAAATTTATTGAGTCAATCGACAACATTCACGAGCTTGCGTTTGCTGAGAACCAAGAATTTCCGGTATGTTAATAACCTGTGGAGAGCTTATTGTGTTTCCTTCTAAACAAAATCTATATGAATTTGTGTTTTCATATTTCATTCTTTTTAGGGTGTGTATGCTCTCCTTTTTCTCAATAGAAGGGTGCGTATAATTGGTTATCGCTTGGCAAGGGCCATGGGAAAGTTGAGGTATATTTCCCTTTTTATTACAGCGACTAAGTAAATTCATAGCTAACTCTGTTCGCAGGACTGTCTTTAGTGCTTCTGAAATTTTGATAGATATCATGTTTTGATCTTATCCTGCTATCATGGCAGATCAGCAACCCAGTTGGAGCGCCTCCAGCCATTGCTCAAGAAGTTCATTGGAATTCTGGAGATGGAGGGACTGCCTTCTGCGTCTCAAGAACCAAGGCCGAGGATTTATCTAGACCGCTCATCCATATGGCTTGGGATGACATCATTGTAAGAGTTAGTGACTAAATCTCCCCTTATTGTTTCATTGTTCGTTTACTGTTTTCGAAATATGCTTGATTCGTTGATTCCTGAATTTTTGTTGCTTATTAAAGGCTTGAGTTCTTAGAAGGCCCTGCTTTTGAAGAGGGGATATTAGAGCCGTACCCTATTTTTGTTGATACAGTGTTAAATCATATAAGTGGCGATTCACCTGAATTTTCGCTGGCTGTTAATTGCCTAAAAGAGCTATTTAAGACACTTGGTATGGTAACTATTGTCGTTTTTTAAAGTAGCCAGTATATCTTGAAGCTCTATATTAGGTTATTGACACATTCCCATGTGATAAAAGGTTGTAAGCTCTGGCTTAGGTCTACCTTATCCCCAAGTGTGATGCGTAACACATTGTTGGGTCAGTGTTTCCATACAAAAGCTGAGAAGATCCACAAAGCCATTTTTGATCTTTTCCAGCCTTTATTACAGGCAAGCTTGCATTAGTTTCTCTTACGTATATGATTCTCTTAGGAGATTGACATGCTTTCGTTTACTTACCTTGCCATATTTTGCATATCCTATTTGTCCAGTCCCTTGAAGCATTGCGAGATGGTGAGCACGAAAAGCAACGTAGACACTTTCTCTACTTTCTCCTTCATCAGGTCCCAGTTAGCAGTAACTTCAGCGTTTTAGCAAGAAGAATTGGCCACAAGGTAGTTCTACTTCTTTTCAATTAACACATATCTGTGGCATTTTTTTATACTCTTATCTTCATCAAACTTTTGAAATTTATCTTCAGATTGCTCTTCTTATTGTACTCAGAGGTTACACAATGAACCCTCCTTGCCCTCCCTTTGAGTGTGCACACATGTGGTTAGTATACTTTCGGCCTATTTTTTGTTTTGCAGCTGTTTGTTGTCTGTTACTTACTTGAAAAGTTGGCTTCTTTCTCAACCTTGGTTTTGAATTTTCATCAAATACTTATTACATGACATGAGTATTAAGTAGGACGGTTATAGTTTCATATATAATTTTTTTTTGTAGTTGTGATCGTTTCTTTCTCCCGGCAACTTTCATGTTAGCTTTATATGGATGTTAAATATTTTGACAGTCCTATGTGTAGAATACATAAAGTTCACTGGGGTCTGCTTGCAGTATGCCAAGATAGATAACTGTCATGTTTTGAGTGCTGTGTTCGGTGTATCGTCCTGTTCATTTGTAGTTTTGGAAAATTGTAAATGTTAGACAAGGACACAATAGTTTTCACAAAGACAATTCATGGAAGTCAACTGATGTGACAGGGGCCCATCTCTTGTGTCGTCGTATAAAGATTCTTCACTCCATATTTCATTGCGACAACCTGCTATTGATCTTGTCCAAGCTATCTTGGTATCTGATGCAACAGCCTTACTAGCTTCGCTGCTACGTAATAATACTGGTAAATATATGGACAATGAGTTGCAATATGACGACAATGAAAGTAATCTCCCCTTTTCCCATACTGCTGATGATGCAAGTGATCTTCACTGGAGAGCCTTTACCCAGCAGAGCAAAATTACTCTTGGGGAATGTAAAGAGTGGATGTGCATCCCGATGCTGTGGATTTCTACTCTTACAAATACAAATCTTCTAAACCTTCCAGTATCGCTATCCCAAGCAGTATTTTGGTCTCGATCACGATTTTGTTTGGTGGAATCTGATAAGAATGATGAAATGACACTTGATATAGAAACTTGGCTTTCATCTTCTGCTGTTGAAATCCAAGGCACGCTTGGGTGGAAGGTAGCAACAGGATCTGATGACGGAGGACCAGGAAAGGAGTCCAAAAACTCTGTGACAGTATCTAAAATGTGTCTTACTTTGACACGAACATTGAAGAGGTACTCATTTTCACTGTTGTGGTAGGAACACTACTAATTTTTCTATTACCCTTTGTAGTAGTAAGTTTATGGGTTTTGATTTTGTAGATTGACCACTTGTTATCTGGTCCAAATGGGTGAAGAATGTCGAAAAAAGTGGACCTGGGTACCTGGGATGGCCGAAACCTTCATCCTTTCTCTTTCAGACCCAGATGACGTATGTAATTACCTATAATGATGTCCTGGGTACCATTATAAAAGATGATGACTAGATATTTATTACTCTATGTTCTTGTTCTATTGTGTGTAAAGTTGAACAATTGCTAGTGTTATTTTTGTTAACAGAATGTAAGGCAATTTGGAAAGTCTATGCTGGAACACGTTTCAAATACCAGAGGTCTGTCTTGTGGGCTGAAGTTTCTCTGCTCTCAAAGTTCACATCTCCTATTTGTTTCTTCTGGAGTTAGACATGTTTTACAGCAGGTAAACAGCAGCTAATTTTTTCATTCAACATATAGGAGGATATGCATGCAATGAGACATTTAACTATCTATTTTGAAGTATGTCATGGGATGCAAGTTCAGTAGTACTCTGCATTCTTCTGCTCCGTGGGTATTGTTGTTCTTAATGTTAGTCTTTGCTAAGGCTACAGATCTTCCACCCTTTTCCACTATAGAAATTGAAAGTCTAGCCTGAGCATTTCACATACTTCAGTTTTTTTTAATCATGAGTGTCTACATTTTTCATTAGTCTGTGACTTGCAACTGTTTTTATTTGCTTATATCTTCTGTTTTTTTCCTGATTTTGGCAGGTCCATTTGAGCTCTGTCCTACAAAGCTTTCAGATCTTGCACCATTTTTTCTTTTTGTTGTTTAAGTTGCTCAAGGAAGAGGAGGTGGCCAGTACTGACGAAGTGAAGAGCTCGGCAGGGGGATTTTTGAGGCAACCTAATTTTAATGCTTTGCCTGTGAGTGAGGGCAGAAATTCCTTGAGTGCTACGCCTGAATTATTAAAGTTTCATTACTTGCTGGCAGAAGTTGCATTGGGCGTGATAAGGAAGTGTCTAGTTGAGGGAAAGGCTTTCATCCATCAAAGTCTTTGCCAGGTATTATTTGAAAGTTCTCATAGATTGATCTCTGGTTATACTACTGCTTGTTATTTATTCTGCTGTCCTCTTTGGCTGTATGTGTTTCTTTTTGGAACGTGTCTAGTTTTTTCTTTTTCTAAGGTTCCGATTTTCTAATTTGGCAGATGACATGTGTGCGTTTGCTTGAGATTCTTCCTGTTGTTCTGGGAAAACTTAGAGTAAGCGATGAAGACTCCTGTGATGCTAGAGGAACTTTGA